CCCTCTCTCTCTCTCTCTCTCTCTCTCTCTCTCTCTCTCTCTCTCTCTCTCTCTGTAGGACAACAAAAGGGCCTCCTTTTCTTCTACAGATACAGAAGAATGTAACACCAATCAAATTCCGGTAAACTTATCCATGGTCACCAAAAGGTGTAAAAATCAGGAAAATGATAATGCACAGAACCATGCAATAGAAAGACAAAATATTAATGATAAGGAAGCAGAAGTTCATCCAGAAAAAGAGGTAATTTTATGCAGATCAGATCTTTAAATTATAAATGTTAGGTTTCTGTTGGTATTTTATGCTGCTTGTTTTCTATTGAAACTGTTAAAAGCAATGCTTATTTAATTCCAGTTTTACATAAAATGATTTAAAGTATTGACGAGAGTTGTGTATGATAAACTTTACAAAATGTGTGCCCAGAAAGTCCATTTTGCACCCTATGTAGATTATGTAATGTGCATGACTTACTTTGCAATATTCACTCTCTGTTCATGATCAGGAGGAGGAAAGGGTTGTGCAGAGTGCTTTGCTCTGAAATTCATGCTCTCATTTTCCATTCTCTGCACATATTTGCAATATTTATAAGCATAGTAAGCGGTCTTAACACTTAAATATACTTAGCTATCTATCTAACTCATAGGACTTATAAATAAACATGCTCAGGATTGCACTGCATGAATTATAAACTGGCTTTAAGAAATCAAAATGAAAATAAATCTCTAGGGAACTATGCAACATGTTTAGTGACCCATCATCAATGGCTGGGTAGTTCCCTGGAGATAGTCATGGCTATCTCTGGAGAACTATATGATGTATCTGTAGGGAACTATGAGGCACATTTGGTGATGCATTATCGGTGGCAGTTTAGTTTCCTAGAGATAGAGTATTTACAGCTTTTTGTTCTGGGTATAGGCTCAGGTGTATTTGAGCCAGTGCATTTCAGGGCACATGTCAGTTGTATAGTACCCCTTTGGTTTTTCTTTAGCATTTACCCTTGTAATTTGCCCTCAGCTGCTATTAAGCCATTTATGGTGAGAAAAAGAAAATGACTTTACAAACAACTCTTGTGGCCTACTTCAAGAAATTACTCCAGTGGTAACCCACCTCCCTGCTGTCTTCAGCAGCACAAACACTGACTCTTCAGCACCAGGTCCATTTCTATCATCATCATCAGTTGAAGTTAGGCTTAATGTTACTACCAGAATGTTCTAAATTGTTTTAAGAACTGTATCTTTTGTTTTTAATAATACTGTACCTGTAAACATACATATTCTCTCCCTTTAGTACCTGTAGTTACTTTATTACTATATTATCAGTATTACAATTCTGTATTGTATTTAAGATGTTTTAGTGAGTATGGAATTGTTTCTAAAGTATTTTATATGCATAGAAAGGTAAAATATATACATTTACTAAGACAAACAGTTGACTTATGTGATCCAACTTACAAATTTGACTTAAGGATGATCTCAGGAACAGAATTCGTTCATAACCCAGGGACTACCTGTATTAACCTTTGTTTTCATCCATTGCAAAGGAATAATAAAAAAACTTGTATAGTATAATATATACATAATGAGAGAGGTATATATTTGAAAAACATTCCCATCTCATATTTTTAGCTACAGATTCTGACAGAGCTGGAAGAAAGGGAAGAGACTTGGGATCATGGATCTGGCAATGAACTGACTATAACTCAAAATAAATGTCCAGCAAACTGCAGGATGACAGAAAACTTGACAGAGAACTTTGCCACTCCAAATCTTGAAAATGGGAAGAATTCTACTAGGCAAAAAAGAGTTGGAAGTAATTTGCCCTTAAAAGTTGAATGCTTGTTTTGTTGTGGTTTGATCATTCATCATGGGGGTGGGCAACTTGTTCAGTTCTGATTATCACTAAGGAATTTGCAATATATATACTCAAGTTTAGTAAAAAGTTGGGATTTTTAGAAATCGAACAGTAGTTTTAAGACAGCTGTACACAGGGCAACAGTGCACAGTGTTGCCCTGCCTTCTGGTCTTATGCTGAGTTTAGTGAAAAAGCGTAAACGTTGTAGGTGTTTGGTTTGCTTTTGACATCGCTTAAACATAAATCATAATTTATTTCAGAAAAAGTAATGAAGGGGGTGGTACTGAGGCATTAAAGCTCTACTGCTGTAATGATGAGCTCCTTGGAATAGAATATGCTTCTCCTATTTCTGTCTTTCCGTTGGTATGCAGAGTTGAACTAATACTGCTGCTGTACAAAACCTTTAAATGAATTAATAAATCCTAGCATATCCGGAAACTTGAGGAGCTGAACTTGGCTAGCTTATCTCTGGAGGTTTAAGAATGTTGAGCACCATTTTGAAGTTAAGTAAAATGATTCTGTTTCCTGGTAATGTTAAAGCTATATTTCTGATCTCTGCATCAGATAAGACTGGTATGGATTCTCTGTCTGGAAAGAAACCCGGTCTCACAAACAGCCTATCCAAATCTGCAAGGGCAAGAATTGCGTGTACCACTCCAAGTAAGTTGCAAGCTAACTATTCTAAAAAGAATCCATATACAAGATACTGACTTGTATGCAAACCACAGAATCACACGAGTGTGGCAGTTATCAATTGTCACTCTCAACTGTTTATCTGATCACTCATTCTGATAGCTTTTCTGACTTATTTTATTTATTTATTTAGAATTTTTTATGCCGTCCCATCGCATAGCCTTGGGATGGCTTACATAGAATAAACAAACACAATACAAATAAAATCCAGATTCACCCTGGCTGCAAAATTAAAACCTATAGATGACATTAAAAGTTATTAAAATATTGTTTAAATAAAAAGGTCTTAGCCTGGCGCTGAAAAACAAATGACGGTGCCAGGCGGACCTCTCTGGGGAGCGCATTCCATAAGTGGGGTGCCACCGCAGAGAAAGCCCTCCTCTGGGTACTTTGCCTCCTAATGTCTTTCACGGAGGGCTCCCGGAGAAGGGCCTCTGCTGCCGATCTCAGGGGGTGGGGGGGGCAAATACGGAAGAAGGCATTTCTTTAGGTATCCAGGTCCCAAGCCATTAAGGTGCTGGTTATCATCTATAAAAAGCCCTTGAATTGAGCCCGGACTTCGATGGGAAGCCAGTGAAGCTGGTAGAGGACTGGGGTTGTATGAGAATAACGCCCAGTCCCCGTCAGCAACCTGGCTGCTCTATTTTGCACCATCTGAAGAATCTGGACTGTCTTCAAGGGCAGCCCCACGTAGAGTGCGTTACAGAAATCCAATTGGGAAGTAACCGATGCATGCATCAGTGTTGCTAAGCAGTCGCCCTCCAGGTAGGGACGCAGCTGATGGATTAACCGAAGCTGAAGGAAAGCACTCCTCGCCATTGCAGTCACCTGAGCTTCCAGGAACAGCTCTGGGTCGAGGAGCACTCCCAAGCTGCGGACCCTGTCCTTTAGAGGGAGTGCAACCCTATTATGTGAAACGTTTTCTATGTGAATCAATTTTGTGGAAGAACTTGCTTCACGAACACTGAGATGGCATCCAGCAACTATCCTTGGCCTGTTTCAGTGGTTAAGGAAAGGATGTGTGTGTGGTAGAACACATGCTTTGCAAGTAGAAGGTTTCAAGTTCAATCAATATATTCAGATAGGCCTGAAAAAAATCCTGACTGTCACTGCCAGTCAGTGTCAGCAGTACTGGGCCAGACGGAAGCGTGATCTGACCTCAGTATAAGACTCCTTCCTAAACTGCTGCACTGTACCTGAACCCTGTGATAAGTCAAAGAAAAGCATCTTGTGTGATACCTATGTACTTGTTATTTCTGTTTCTCTGTGTAAATGTTTTAACTTTCCCTAAACTCTTTTCACATAATGTTGTGTACTTAGAATCGCTTCATACAAAGGTTCTAGTTGTGAATGCCTGATCTAACATCTCTTAAAGGAAATGTGAGGATTGAATTGCAGGTTGCTATGGGAAAATTTGGAAACACATTAAAAGTTGTAGATCAGTGATAGGTAATCTCTGGCTTGTAGGTTGGATACTGCCCACAGAGGGGTTCCCATGCCTTCTCTTCATGGCACGGAATTCCACAGAAAATTTCTGAGATTGAGCAGAGATTAGTTTCTTTGCATTCTCTTTCACTTGGTTGCATTTAGGCTTAAAGAAACCCATTGGTGGTATGAGTAGGAAGTGGCATCAGGGAGTACTATCCTTATCCTAGAAAACCACTCCCTTCTCTGTGTTCCAATTTAAGGATTAAGTGCTGGTTGGAGGAGAAGTGTTTTCAGAACAGGGGAGAGATCCCTGTTGAATCACATCCAGGAGCTGCGTGCCAGCATTGAGGTGACCCCACCCACTTTGGGATGTGGCCCTTAAAAGTCTTGCCCAGTACAGATTTGCTTCTTGGCCTGCAAGAGGGTCCTCATCTGTTTTAGATGAATTTGTCTAGTAAGTTTTTTAAACTGGGACTTGTATACTGTTTTGCTTGCATATAATATGGGTCCCTTCATTTTCTTCTGTTGCATTTGTCATGTGGGGGTCCCTTTTACAATGCTTCCTCCTAAAAATAGCCAGAATTCCTTCCTTGTTCTGATTATTGTACCTATTTTCCTAAGTCTGGCCATTTTATATCACCGTGCATGAAGATGATAGTATTGGGAGCACTTCATCTAATTGTCTTGCCACTAAAACACATGAAGGTGATAATTTCAGCATTGCATACATAAAAGTACTTTTAAAAGACCTCTGTATCCTAGGAAGAAAAAAATGTAGTTCCCTTGGATTATTGTTGTGGAGTAATTGACTATTACTGCCCCCTCTTTTTTCCCCCCTTTAAGGGCAAGATAGTTCTACATTACCCATTTAGTGATAATAGTTAGGGGTCTAAGGGATTACCTCAGGTGGCTTTGCTGGAAGCTGACTTGAGATGCCTTCAAGCAGTTATATCTTCTCCCCTTGGACAAGATGGTTCTTAAGTAAAAGACTTGACAATTTCTTATAGAAAAAATGTTAAGTGCTTTGTATTCATGGGATGAGTGCTTCAAGATAATGTTAGCAGTAGTGCTCTGGAGTATATGTTCTCCATTAATCTGATGGTCTAAAGGTACAGACTTTTTGCCACAGTCATGTTGCACTTGCAGTTCAAAAAGTTGTCTTTCTAAACACAAACCTGTGTGTTTTCTCAGAAATATGTCCTATGATACTTATTTGTTACATAGGCTTACACCTATATGAGTATGCATTGAACTGGAGGCTTGCTTTGCAGGCTGTTACTGGTCCTGGTAAAAAATTAGGGGACAAAGTTATGTTAAACCTAGTTGAATCTCTAGCAAAACTCTATTTGTACTTGAGTTTTGAACAAGCTGATTATGAAATAGAGTAACATAATGATAAATGCTAGAACTATATCACTGTGGACATTTGGCTTAAATGGCAGTATTCTTTTAAAAAATCTTAAACTTATTGTCAAAATTTTAAAATAGTTCCAAATAGTATTGTGAAGCAGCAAGTAAAAAATGTCGTGAGGAGCTGGGTCCAGGATTTGGGCTATGCTGCCATCCTGGAAATATTTTGAGAACAATTATTCCTCACATAAACCATGCAAACTCCCCTTTGGGTTGTTTAATCCATACTCAGTTATGGCAGAGTGCCAAGCTGGCTCCTGCATCTATTTTTCTCAATCAAAAAACTGATCCTGGGTTGTTGGCTTTGCATCCAAATCTGGAAACTGGTCTTTTCCTGGTTTTGGAAGCTCACTGCTCTTGTTCCCTGGGTGGTTTGGGAGAGTAAGAAAGCTGGCCAAAACTAACATGCTTATTTGCTCCCATGCTCTCACAAGCTCCTCCTGGTTTGTTAACCATTGGATGGTTGATCAGTTATTACAGTCAGTTAAGATCGCCTATGCTGGTAATGTAAAGGGAAAATAATTGCTTAGCATTCTTGAACAATCCTTTTGATAAGAAATACTAGTCTAATATTACCAAATCAACTAAAAACTGCAGTCTAATGTGTGTTCAGTTTTCATTGCCCTTCTGTTGGAGCAGCAAACTTGGATGTATTAGCAAATTAATAGTATGTACTTAAGAAAATATTAGTAATGTATTGCCCTTTTAATTCTGTAGACTTTAAGAAACTTCATGAAGCTCAGTTCAAGAAAATGCTATCAATTGATGATTATATTGAAAGGAAAAATAAAATGATTCAGAACTTCAATGCAGTTAATGAAGGCAAGGTAAATAAATGTTAAGTCCTTTCTCTGCTCCCTCCCATCATTACTATGTAGGATTTCTGGAATGATTTTTTTTTAAATATGATCATATGAATTTCTGGGTCACCTTGTTCCCCATATCTACTAAAGCTGACAATTCTGTCAAAGCTGCAGTGGCTGAAAAATAATGCCAGAATGTTCAGAGATCTCATTAAATTCAGTTAATCTCGCATCACAGTGTTTAGAGTGCCAACTGTCCTTAACCCCATTAAGTGCTGGTTTGTAGTAATATATTAAACAAGTCTGAAGACTTGTTTCAAATCCTGTAGCTTTAGAGCACTTACAGCCTGACTAGCAAATATCAAAACGTACATATGCTATGTTTTTTGTAGGGCCAGATATTGAGACAGTCCATGGAATCCTGCAGTGCAGATGGAGAATGTCTCAGTATGAATGTAGAATTCCCCCTCTCCAAATAATTTGAAGGAAACAAATGTCATCTTTCCAACAACTTCCAGTTGTTCCAAGGTGCTTGAGCTGCAAGATGTGCTTTTATTTATTAGATTGATCAATTCCTATTCTGTCTTGCTGCTGTATTGTCAGGCACATACATCCTGGTGGATTCCTTCATTCTCACTCAGCCAGGTTTTTGTAAAATGGCAGACAAGCTTATTCATCCAGAGGCAAGTCCTAACTCCCAATTAGCTTCCCTATCAGTGACTTGGCATTCATGAGCAGCATTATACTTGTATGCCATGATGGGTTACTTTGACCCATGATAGGTCAAGAATCACAGGAAGTCTTCTCTTTTATCCGCAATGGTCTTTTCCTCCTCTACCAACACACTTCCCCCAATTCATTAAACCCAAAATAGCAGCACTTCTGCTTTCCTCCTTCCCTTTCAAATACATATCTGGTCCAGAAATAAAACACATCACAAGAGTTCTAATTGTATTAGAGAATAATAAAATGTCAGTAGCCCATCCTACACGTAAACTCAACCAACAAAATCACCTTCAATTAAGGCAAAAATCAGGGATGTAGAACCTCAGTTGCAGTTTCCCAGATACCTTGCCCACAACCACCAATTATTGGTTGGTTTCCCAGCTTTTTTGCAGTTTTTCCCCCAGTCTAAAAAACTAAAATACCTTTCTTTGAAGCTTAATTATTGCCGTGAGAGATTTTACCTAAAAATTACTAGTATTTTTGCCTTGGCCACTTTTGACTTCAGCCTATGCCCATCACTGGAATGCAGCCTACTCCCCTGAGAGCTTGATGAGCCCAAAAGACTCCATCATGGTTCAAATCAAAGCACGCAGCCCACCAGTAGAGCAAGCAAAGCAAAGCTAAAGCACCCTTGCTGCGAGTGAGCAATGATTGCATAAAGAGTGAGAGGGCAAAGGGCTGCATTTGAGGTGACTGGGAGCCACCATTGGCCTCCAAGCCTTGCAGTGAAGAATAGCTCTATGCAGAGAATGCTCTTCTCTTCACTCTACTGTGGGTGGTGGCACCCAAGAAAAGCCTCTGAAGATGATCTTAGCAATTGGACAGGGACATACAGGAGAAGGTGCTTCAGATAAACTGGTCTTGGGCTATTTTAGGGGTTTAAAGATCTGTATCAACCCTCTGAATTGGGCCCAGAAACTGACTGGACACAGCACTGGAGTAGTGTATTCAAACCATCCATTCTCAGTAGACAATTTTAACTTTGAAGAGGATCTTGATCAAATGCTTACAGTGTTTACTTTTTCTAGAAGTCAGAAAATGTTATTTCAGCTGTAATTCAGGGTAGTTCCTTGCCCTCTGTTCACCTGCTTTCCATCTACCATTTTGTGCTTTTTGTATATATAACTGGTCTCCTAATGGCTACATGAGACTCATATACTGGCAATTATGGGGTTGTGATTGGTTTTATGTAACGCATGACTCTGAGAGGGGTTGGGGGCAGAAAAGGATTACTAATTTGAGGCAAATTGTGCTTTTATTTGGCAAGTTGTTCATCTGTGACCACATAAGGACACTAGAAGGGCATTTGCACACTGAGATTTCAAAAATAGAACTTATTATAAAACAAATATAGTAAAGTCTTAACTTCCATGTTTGGCAGATGCTGGCTAAGAAGAGTAGCTACCTGAATTCTCCTCAAAATGAAATTCTAAATATTGGTTCCAAGGTGAGGGTAAGTTCTTGGTTAAAGCTTATTTTAGAACAGGTGATCTTTTTGATATCATGTTTTGCGTCAAATCATTCAGGCTAGACTTTAAAGTGTGCACATAATTCTCCTGTTTTCAGACACATTCTAGTGGACTTTTATCAAGCCCTCATCCTCAGAGGAATATGCTGTCCGCTACATGTACTCCTGTAAACCTGCGGCACTCACCACGCAATTCTCTTGGCACTGCAAACAAAGGTATTTTATCTCAGAAATCAGCACTGGGTTCAACTGGCTGCTCAACAATCAAAATGAATGTCAGGTAAATAATACCACTGACTACTAATAAATATGTAGTGCATATTAATCTAGCAGTGCAAATTTGTATAGCACTATGGAATCGAGTCCTTGAATTTTAAATTAATTATGATATAATTCAGCGTTTCATTTCAAGCTTTGGTAGTCCAGGTTCTGTTAACATATTCTTAACATAGCAAAGGTCTGTATGTTTAGGATAATAGTTATTTCAATGAAATGGAATTAAAGAATAGCTTGAGCTGAGTTATAAAAATGTGAAAACAGTTGTTTTTGTTCAGGTTCTCCGGATCTACAAAGGATAATGAGCACAAGCGCTCCCTAATCAAGACTCCATCTAGAAAATCCCCATTCCTGAACGATGGCACCCCAGTGAGCAAGAACAGCAATACATCTGTAACTAAGAAAGGTGTCAAAAGAAGTGCAACCAAAGGCCAACTAAGAGAAACCCCAACAAACTCTGGTAACTGGGATGCTTGCAAATCAACAGTGGCAATTGTCTGTACTTGACTGCACACGGAATATATGATCCTTGTAGGGCAAAGCACTGCTAGATTATGTTTGGCTTATTGCCTACGGCTAGGCTTGGGCTCCTTCCTTCCCACTGTCAAAGGCACTGAAATGATTTTTTTTACCAGTATAAGGGACTGCAAGAATGGAAGAAGAAAAAGTTATTCCAGTATGAAGGTAAAAGAGTTTTGTTCTCTAATATGCAGCCTCGGGCTGTGTTATAAGTAAAGATTCTCTGGTGCCTTCAAGTGGGGTACTTTTACTCCTTGCTATTGCCTTGTCTTTTTGGAAGCCCTGTTTAGTATCCTTAGTTAATAGATGTTTGTAGTGCCATCACTAGTCCACCTCATACTTGGTTGTCTATATTGGTTATGTGAAGAACTGATCTTTATCCCTAACCACTTGCCTAATCAAAAACCTTTTAATGCTTGTGATTATGGACACACATAGGAAGCTGCTTTAGATGGAGTCACACTGGGTCCATCTAGCCCAATTTTCTCTAATTGCACTAACTGTACAGGCTCTCCAGCCTTTCTGGTAGGATTCTTTTCTATCCCTATCTGGAGATGCCTTTCCATAATGCAAGAGTACAACTGTTGTAATTTATTTCTCCAGTGATCTAAATGTCTGAAAAAGGCAAGCCTGCTTTGGTTCAATAAGGATCAGCAAGATTCTGCTTCTACTTTGGAGAGGTTCAGTATTAATAACCTATTAGGATATAGATATATATGCAACATATGGTTGGTTGTTTATAATTCATATTGCCTTTAGGCAGCCGTTAAATTTAATATGTATCTTTTGCTAACTTTCACCAGGTTACTGATCATCAATATGCTCTTTTCCCCCTTAAAGCTGTTAGCTCCTTCAAGTTGGTAACTCAGACTCCAGAATCCACAAGCATTAAGAAGCCAGCATTTGATCTGCAAGCAAGTCTGGCTAGGCCACTTAGTTATCAGCCACACAGAGGTATTGAAGTCTTTTTCAAGACTACAGGCAATGCATATCAAATCAGTTCTTTGGTCATGTCCTGAATGGCAATATAGTTGCAGGATGAAGCTTTTCTCCCTATGGTGCACCTGGTTTCAGTGTGCTTGCAGTAGTTTTTAATCATTTTTATTTTACTCACTTTATGAACTTGTCTTGACTACCCAAAAGTATGCTTTACTATGTTGAAGTTAATTTCTTCCTAGATTATGAGTTTATTCTTTGCATATACAGGGCACTAAATGCAGCTTTTTAAAGCTCTAAACCAGAGCTTTCCAGCCTTGTTTGCATGGTCACATTTGGAAATCTGAGACAGTGTCACAAAGTGGCTGCTGTGGGGACCCTCCTAATCATAAAGGACTAGTAACTTCCACAAGGAACTAAACACAAAGCAGAGGCTGGGTTTTCAGTTCCAAACACCAAATTACGTATTTTTCTGTAGTGAACAAGGATATCCTTGTCTGACTTGCTCCATGACAGGACATATAACTAAGTAGAATTACCCTCTCACATGGGAGAAAAACTTCTATTATTTCTGCCATTGCTCCAAGCTGGACATATCCAGGTACTTGGATCTCTAGGCAAGAAGGTATCTAGGTTGACTTTAGCCAGGTGGATCAGTGCCTGCATCATATTTTGCTATCAATCTCCTGGTTCTGCTTTGCTATTGGGAATTTCTGTCCATTCTGTGTGGAGTATAGTCGTATCTGTGACGTTTGGTGCCAATGCTCCTTTTGCTGACATTAGTAGGGCTGCCACATGGAAATCACTGTCTTTATAAAGCATTACTAGAGGGATACATTTGTTTTGGGTAAAGCCTTCTTCAGCCAAAGGGTGTTTCAACACACACGTTAATTACACATACAGGCAATAACCTGCCCTCCCTTGTATAGCATGCAGAATCTGCACAGCGGTTCTGCATACTATACAAGGATATTCTCCACTAAATTAATAAAGGACACTAGAATTTATCATAATATATTTATTTTCTCTAGTAGATTAAGGATGTTCTGTTCATCCAGTGGGCTGTTCTGGGGAGGTAAATTTATTTTCTGCGTTGGTCCTTATAAATTCTAATAAGCTGTTGTGGGTTTTTATTCCCTATTTGTTCTGTGGTGAGTCATTTCCAAATCTGGAAAGAAGGAGTTTGCTCTGAGAGGGCAATTCTGCTTTGCTTCTCATCCTGCCATTTAGAGCAAGTTAAAGGAGCAATGCAAACATGGATATCCTCTGTCCACTCCAGAAAATGAACATATCACTGTAACTTTTTTTTGCCGCCACAAAGTGCAGTGAGATACCATTATTGCAGAATACCTCCTCCACCCCCACACCAGTAAAAATCATCACACAGGCAAAACTACGTATGCTCTGCAAAACGAAAAGCATACAGCAGAGACAAAACTATGCCTTTTCCCTGTAAAACACAGACAAAACTACACAGATGTCTTTGTTCTACACATAGCATAAAAAGACAAAAGTTGGTGTGTTGATCCTAAGAAGCTTCCAAAAATCCATGTTGCTATAATACTTCTATTAAGCCTAACAAAGTATCATTAAAAGAAATTTTGCAAGCTTGTGAAATCCCTAGTCAGGCAGCATAGTATAAGACTGCCTTTTGTCTAAGATGATCTTGAAAACACACAGAATACTACAGTAACAAGGAACTTTGAAATATTTTATTCTAAATTGACTCTGCTACTTAAACAAATGAGGATAGAAAAGGTATAATTACTAAACCTTGGCAAACTTTCTTATGTCAATGCAGGAAAATTGAAACCTTGGGGCAAATCAAAGGAGAATCACCAGAATGCCTGTTCCCACAAGAAGAACTATAAACAGCCCCTTCTCCAGACCAGGCAAGTATATGACCCAGCTATCTCCCAAGAGCTGCCATCTCTGAAATCAAGGTTCAGTTTGCTCTGAGTCACAGCTTTTGGCTTTCACACAGGAACAGCAGGATGTTCCAATCCTACAGGGTTTTGGTTAGTGTAAGTTACTAAAAGAACAACACTTAGCACAGTTCCATGCCATCCACAGAATAAGTAAGGCTTTGCCAGATTTCAGGGCAACTTTTCTAAAAGACAAAACCTTCTGAATTAAGGCTTTATATTTGAAGGCATTCAGACAAGATATACATTTGGTGTGTGTGAGAAGGCATTCTCCTGTAAGCCCATAGAGCGTTTCCACACTGTGAGGAAGGGTTCTGCCTGAAGGTGCACAAAGGCTTGCTCAAGTTTGAGTCTTGTATTTTTATTCTACAGTCCCTTGAGTTACTCTATCAATAGAAATGGTTTACAAAATAGGAAGGCTCCTGTAATAAACAAGAGAACTCATGCTATAACATGGAGGTTGGTTTTCATCCTGCATTATATTTATATGTGGGAAGCTGGAATTGCCACTCTCTTTCCCCAGTCTTGCTGCAGTGTTATAGCACTCAGGTTTGAAGTCAGTGATGGTACAGGATACGGAATAAGTAGCTGGAAATATATAGTAGCACTTTAAATGCCTGGAATTTTACTTTTCAACTTTAGCGTATAGTTAAAAATGGTTTTGTAGAAGTAGAATATCATGCACCCAACAGTGCATTTAACTCTACTAGGATGGAACCCAGACATCTAGAATTTTACTCTGATTTTGAACAAGAAGTTCATTAAATCAATATCTAACATCACAGCATCCACAAACTACTAAGACTTTCACAAGGAGGATATATTTTGTAACAAGAATTATCAATAAATTTTCTGTCAGGAAGGAGATTTTAGAACTAATCAGAACACTTCAGTCTTTATGCTCTTTAACTATTAGCACAAAGGTGTCAGTGACCTAATGCAACACTTTTCTCGGCACTTTTCACTTGCAGAGAAGAGAGACGAGAAAGGCACACACAGGAGAGGAAACAGAGAAAAGACCAAGTGCTTGGAACCTACAGAGGACTGAGAGTTGTCTAAGGTTAACTCTAAAATTGTTCTGTATATAACATTCTGTATGAAAAACCTTCTTGTAAATATTTGTTTTTTCTATGCAGTGATGTGCTTCAGGCAGCCTGTTGTCTGTACCGAGCTAGGCTAATAAACATACAGGGCAGCCTTTCCTGATCTAGCACTTTCCAAATATTTTGGGATAAGGGAGCCATATAGGGTGTTACTAGATTGATTTCAGTTATTTAGTCATTGAAGCTACAATCATAGAAGGCTTGTAAACAATTTCAGAAAAGCATTTTCTCCTCTCGTTCTCTCTCCCTCCTCCCAGGTTTGGTTTGGTTTTGTTTTGTTTGTGGTTGCGGGGGGGATCTAAGCTTAGCAGGCCCTAGACTGGCTGGAAGCAAAAATATTCCTCCAAAAGCATGGACCAAAACTCTGGACAGCAGGGACCAAATTAACAAGTTTAGAACATTCACTTGAGTGTTCTAAACCATTATTTTAATTTTTGTATTAAAATAACATGGATATTGATAACATTGTGCTACTTGTGTAAAAGCTAATTTTATTCAACCAATACTATTCTGCAGCTCTGCTAATGGCTGCTACGAGTGCCCTGAACCATTTGTTTGACAAGAACAATGGCTCTGATGTGGTGGGAAATCGTTTACTATGTATGATCAAATTTCTTTTCCAATTGTTGGGAAACGTGATATTCCAAATGGCTTGATCTGAAGGTTGCCCACTCCTGCTATATATGCTAAACAGCAGCCTTCCCCAATCCAGTACACTCCAGCTGGTTTGGTTTTCAGTTCCCATTAAACCCAGCCAGCATGACTAGTGGTCAAAATGCTGGGTTACATCAGATTGGGAAAGGTTGCTCTCTATGGTGACTGACTTCCCTATTCATCTAGCCTTTTTTGTTGAAAAAAATAGTCTGGTTAATAAGCAGTTTTATAAAGAATCTCTAAAAGGTAAAAGAAAAATAAAGTAATTATACCACCTCATACAACTCTGATGTATTACTGTTCCACATGTTGCAGTTGGGGAACTGAACTTCTGAAGTGAATATTCTCTATTTCATAGAGTTCAGAATCTTAAATATTACACGAGCACTTATTTCAAGAAATTCCCCTATGGATTCTTGGATTCTCAAAGGTGTGAGCTCCCCTATGTCTTTAAACAAGGACTTTGGATTTACTAGTATTTCAAACATAAGTGGAAGTGCTAGTCTGAGCAATAACAAAGATGAGTCTACCTACTAGTCAACACTAATTCAAACAAATTGGCACACTCAGTGCATTTATTAGTCATGCTAATCTGCATTTCATTTCAAGAATAAGAAAACATCTGGAATATTTTACAGGTTACAAATTTCCTTTTCCTTTCACTCCAATATCACATAATTTAGAGCTATTACATCAAACAACTGTCAAATCTAGGAAATACCCAGTTCATAACTTCAAACATTCTAATTTAGCATGTAATGAACAGATAGGGGTTAAGGGAAAGATGAAAATAAGGATGCTAGTTCTGCTCACCAACCCTCCACAGCCATCATATGGAGGGGGAAAAGAATGCATGCCAATCCTAAAGCAGAATACCTAGATAGTGTGATAATACCTAACCCTAAACTTGGCTTCTAGGTCTGATGCTTGTGTGGGGAGACTACAGCATGGCAGGTAACTGCAGAAACATAACATCGTGTTTTCAGTTCTGATGAATACCGGTCCTTCAGCTGATCAGTTTCTGTTTCTTGGGATTTCTTTCATACAGCTCATAAGCAGATTTCTCTATGTGTGTTCTGTCCATGAGCAATCCAATGAAGTCAATCTCCAGCTGGAATGGACCATCTATTTTGTCACCCAAAGTGAATCCTAAAGTACTGATCTGTTAAGAAACACACACAATTTGTACCATGTTCAAATTCTTTTGAAAAATTTGAATAATCTTCAAGATGGTATAACTTGCATGTAACTGCTGCAATACATTAAGATGTGTACTTTAAGTTACTGAAACATTTGCTCAAGACAGCCCAGTTTGGGACTGAAAGCACCAATGATACTGCTCATAGTGCAATCCTGTGTCTCCTCTGAAGGAAGGCCCATTTAATGAAATGCTGCTTATGCTCAGCTATAAAGGGTTGGAATGTAGCCTTAATGTCATTTTTGTAAATAAATTGTGCACAGAGCAGACGCCAATTCCTCCCCTCTAGGTAAAGGCCCTTGAGCTTCACTGCACACTATTGGGAATGATTTCTCATCATTAGGAGAGGATTTCCAGTAGGGAACACAAAGATGCAGCAGAAATGGACAGAAGGTATAGACCTAGTACAGTGGTACCTTGGCTCGCAAACTTAATCCATTCCAGGACTCTGGTCGTGACCCAAATTGGTTGTGAGCCAAGTCAAATTTCCCCATAAGGGTCAATGTAAATAAGGTTAATCCGTTCTGCAACTATTTTTTTACTCACAAAAATGTAAAGCAAAGTGACAAAGAACAAAGATTGCAGCCATCTCCCCCCCACCACCCCCAGCAACAGTGCGGGGAAACAGGTGCGGGCACGCTCAGGCAGGGAACACGGGCACAATAGCGGCCATCTCCCCCCACACACCAGCATGACCGCAATCGCGCCTGTGCAGGGAAGGTGGGCACACTCGCAATTGTCACCCAATGCAGAGTTCGCAACCTGCAAATTTTTTATGAAATTTCTGTTCACAACCCGATTTGGTCTTGAACTGAGGCGTTCGTGAGCCGAGGTACCACTGTATGTGCAAATTTGCATTTTTGAGAATTGGATTTTAAGCTTTATTTCTTGAGTGGGATCTTCAATACAAACAATAATGCTTGTACTATGAGTTTCCTAGTTCCTTGTCCACTATAGCCTATCTCCTGATGGTTAAGGGAGTCAGTGTGACATAGTGGTTAGAGCTGGACTGGTACTCTGGAGACCTGGGTTTAGTCCCCATTCAACCACTGAGTGACTTCTGGCCAGTCACAGACTCTCAGCCTAACTTACCTCACAGGCTGGTAACTGCAAGTATAAAATGGAGATGAGAACTTTGCAGCTTGCCTTGAATTCCTTCCACTTTGATGATGTGAAGGAACAGCAGCACTACAAGGAAACTTGGCACAGCTGCCTTGTGCAAGTCAAAGTGCCTTTTGGTTTGCACAAGACATCTCTGGCTCCAAGCCTTAGTTTCTGCTCAGGTCTTCTAAGTCTTTATTATGTATTATCCAAACTGTCTTTCATGTTTCTAATACTATTTCTTGTTCCATTTAATGCAAGTTTAACTGAAAACACATTAAAAAATCCAGAACTACAAACTCAACAAAGCTTTCAAGAAAGTTCAAGATATCCTTGTTTTAGCTGAAACTCAAATGTAACGTAATCAGTAGGACTGATACATAAGCAACTGACAGCTCAGAGATGAGAGTATGCATGGAAATGGCAACACCCTTTAGTCAGCCTAGCTAAAGATTTATTCTTCTCAAAGTAACTGGTATAATTAGTACTAACAAAAGGCAATTATATCAAATTTCATATCTTAATTTGTAGATTTAGTTCTGGCAAAACCAAATATTAAAGGAAGCAAAACATAGCATAATATATACCACTATTACTCCAAAAGAGGAGAAAGTTCAAAGGGTGCAAACCTGGGATCTACACTCTTGAGCTTGGAGCTGTATGGATTTCTTACGCAAGGATAGGAGGAACAGTGGAAGTGATCTACCACCACACACTTTCATTTGATGGCCTTTTCTGCCTCTCTAGTCAAAGCACTTCCAGGAGGAATGGAAGAGGGTGGAGAAGCCTCAGCACAGCTCATATCCTACGCTCTTCAGTCTTCTCCCTTCTCAAAAATGTCCCCTTTCTTCCCCAAAGGTATTTTTCCAACCTTGGGAAAGCAGCTAATGTGGCTCTTTCCATATCCACCATGATGGGGGACCGAGTTCCATTCCCAACTCTATTACCTCACAATCACTTTCTAGGGACCACAGGGTCACTTCCCAAGTTTTAGTACTTATATTTTGTTTTCTTTGTCGATTATGTGCTGGTATACTCATAGCACAAGGAATCTGGGCCTTATAACAGTGCAGTGCTTGCATGTGCATTCCAAAGTCCCACCAAATTCAGTGGGACTTACTCCTATGCATGTGTACCAGATCACTGTGGTAGTTCACTTAAATATGTGTGGAGACTGGCCTGCCTTCTGTCAATTCTTTCCAAATTCATTACTATTTGCTTCTTTTTTTAGAATTAGTTTTGAGCACTGATTAATGTTTACCAGCAAACAAAGCTGAAAGAGGCTACTCTGGGTCTAAAATCATTTTAAGGTACCATGAAAGTTCCATTAGTGCAGAAAAGGAAGTTATACTGTTACAAGAGGATGTGTAAAAACAATCATATATGAGTGTAAAAGCTAGACGGTGAAGAAAGCTGATGGGAAAGAAATTATGCATTTGAAACATGGAGGTAGGGATGTCATGAGTGGCTGGAGCTGAGGGATCAGACTAGATGGCCCAGGAGGCCCCTTCTGACTTGTTCTGTTTCTATATTTGTTAATACTCTGGAATGACAGAAAAGCAAACAAGTTGGTCCTAAATCAAAACACAGCTCCAAATCTTTTAAGAGTAATTACAGTAAAGGTCTATTTTTCCTCCTAATTTAAGCTACTGAAATCAAGAAAGCTTGGAAGAGAATACAAGTAGCTTTGTGTGTAAAAGGATTTGCTACCAGCTCCAGTTTTAAAACTGAAAAATGCCTAGGCTGAGTGTGTGCTCAGATGGGCACTGTTCTACAATTCTGTATACACCTTCTTGAGTCACTATTTTGCAATTGACTTCAGTTGGTGGACCTAGAGTTTCCACTGAAAGAAATTAGAACATAATGTCTGCCCACAATTATATTAGCATAACAGATCTTCCCAGCACACCACCTTGAGCCTGCTCCAAACCTATTGCTGGGGGGCTGTAGAGGAAGATGAGATGGAAAAGGAAAAGGCATGACGTGAAAACAGAAGCCCACTACTCAAATGTTAGATGTCTCCCATGATTACTTCCTACAACGGAAAATAAGAGTCTCATGCCTTTGTGTACAAAAGCTAATCTGAAAGCTCATACACATGCCTACCTATATGCCTACTTGCACAATCTGCCATATGACTCCAGGACACAAAAAGGGGTGAGACACACACACACTTTGGCTTAAATGCTGCCACAAATCCCTGAGGTCATCTGGCACATTCAGAAAACTTTGGAAGGGGCCAATATTCATTTCGCACTGGGATTCAGAGAAGCAATGAGCTGGAAGCACACTTTGTTTCTCTAAACTTCAGCAAAAAAGCCCTCTGTGCATGCAGAAATCTTCCAATGTGTCTTGGCTTTTATGTCTGAGTGGGGAGGTGTACCAGAATGCTCTGCAACTCAATGGCATCAGGAAAAAAGAAGGCTCTTTGTGCTGAATATTCAAGGGCAGAAATCAACCAGAAAGTTACCAATGGTGTGGGCACATTTCCCTTTTTGGTTTTGATCAAGTAAGTTTAAATCTTGCAGTTTCAAACAGAAAATTACATGCAGAAAATTTTACCTTATCTAACCAAAGTTCATGTTGATTATCTTGGACTCTCCCACGTGTAGAAAAAATAAATTTAGAAAACGGAATCTGCAAGTACAACATTACAGGTTATTATGAACAAGTGCATTAAGGCACTCTACAATGCTATTTCTCTAGCAGTAGTCTCTAAGTCAATGACTTTCACTTCATAGATGGTTAATACTTCTAAAAGAGCTAGAAAGCCACCCATAAAATAATCCAATATTTTTCGGTTTTGAAAAATTGTTCCTTTGAATTAACTACTTTTAAGTATGAAAGTTTGAGAGGCTCAAAAAACATCAAATTGGACTTATGTTTGCTATTTGCTAAACAGTTATTTCATTTAAACAAGTAGTTTCATCTTCCATCCATGACATTGGCTGGGTTCATATGTCATGACAAACAACCCTGAGCGGTTTGCATGGCATGTGTGTTTTGGTCTGGTGATGCCTGACAGATAATTAAGTGGTTTGCACTCTCCTTGTTCAGTCCTGCCACTGGCACCCATCCCATCAGCTGTCATGCCTGAAATTTAATTCCACACTACAGCAGCTCCTGCACTAGCTGCTGCTCTTTCCAGGAGACTCTGGTAGTTCCATACCAGGACCATGGTAATCACCATGCTGGGTTCAAGCAATCAGAGAAACCATGAAGCATGGAAACCATAGAACAGACCACTGCTTATCATGGTTTCTAAAGAAACAAATGTATCATGTGATACCACAACAAGGTTCAGATGACATGACAAACCATCCTACATAAGAAAAGGCTTGTTGTGCCATGCAGACATGTCCAATATCTACTGTATTTTGCTGAATTATTTCTGGCAAACCAGGAATCCTCAAATTTGCTTAGCTTCCAATAGCAAATTCATATATTTTCTACAACCTTATTGGAATATGCATGAGATTACCCTGATTTCCTCCCAATATGGTCCTCCTCTTGTGAACATGAAGTAGTGATAGAGGTCATCCCTGTGATGAGAGAAGTATGGATCTGTATAGATGTTTATCATCCATGGTCTGCCATCACCACGAACACGTAGGAACAGGCTATTGAAACTTGTCCAATCATAAGGGCTCTTTCGATTAAAAGCAACCTAGCAAAACATGATAATGCTTTCAGTGTTTCACCAATTACTAGTTTCAGTCAAGCTCAACTTCCCTACCATGATGAGTTGTGCTGAAGTACCAAGCAGCCACAATGAGCATAACAGATGATTGAGCTCAGTGACTAACATCTCACGATGCAGCTTATACTGTGTCACATTTAAGAAGATGGTTTCCCCCTGCAGTTCTTCATCTTATCTAACCAGAGCTAGACACACACCCATACACACTTCAAATTTGCTCCAGAGGACCACTCAGCCTTCTAGAGCAGAAGGGGGTACAACAGAAAGAGAGAATCACCCTCTCCCTGTTCTAAAGTATTTTCTGGCTAACAGTACAATAGACACTTGGTCTACAAACCAAGGCTTCTGTAACTGTGAAACAGTCAAGTCTTAGAAAAACAACTTCAAATCATGTGCTTTCTAGCACTAAACTAGAACTAGCAACATGAACGTTCCAGTTCTATAGATCTCATAATTTGCTGGAGATCTTCAGTTCTTTCAATGTACAAAGAAAGTCCAGATACTGCAAAATTTTCAACATCCAGTTTTCTGGAGAAACAGTAAGGAATATATTTTTGTATATGTTAAAGTAACAAGCCCCAGTAAATGCAGAGGATTTTCTTTAGAGTAAACATGTGCAAGACTGGGCAGTAAGATAGGATTGTATACATATTCAGATAGAACAAATGTCCTACAATTCGCAGCCTGCCCCAGTCAGCATGGTTGGTTGGAGGGATGCCAAGAATTACAGGACTTTTTTCCTGTCTAAACATGCATGGGCTTGATCCCTAAGTACATTTTCATACAACAATGGACCATACAAATTATTTTTGTTGCTTTAAAAACTAATTAAAATAAGTCTGAGAGAAAAGAACAAATTGAAATATATCCTTTACCGAATCCATCCCCCCCAAGAGTCCATGCAACAGCCCTCCCCCTCCCCTTCTGCCTTCCAACCGTCTGAAATAGACTTGCAGTGGTGTAGCAGAAAACCTATCACCCACCTTCCCATTCTGCTGATGGAAATCATTTGATCAGTGGGAGGAGCTAATTGCCTATAGCCCTAGAAATTCAGCACTGGCATCATTTCATATCCTACTTTCAAAATAACGTCACCCAAGAATAAAAAAGTTATGGGAAAATGTTATGTTTGTACAGTGGTACCGTGGCTCACAAACACCTCAGTTCACGACCAAATTGGGTCGTGAACAGAAATTTCAGAAAAAAATTTCCTCAGGTCACAAACTTCACATCGGGTGACGATTGCGATTGTGCCTGTGCTTGGGGGTGGGGGGGAGATGGCCGCAATTGCACCCGACTTCTCTGCATGAGTGCGACCGCGATCGCGCCCATCTCCTCCCCCCCCCCAGTGCACCCGCGATTGTGCCCGTCTTTCCTGTGATTAAAAAAAATATTTACAGAACAGATTAACCTTATTTACATTGAACCTTATGGGGAAATTTGACTTGGCTCACAACCAATTTGGGTCACGACCAGAGTCCTGGAACGGATCAAATTCATGAGCTAAGGTACCACTGTATTACACAAAATTAGTACCAAAAGACAGACCATGATTACAATCTGAAATTTTAGTGCAGTTCTCACTTCAATTAGAAGTATTACAATGATAATATTCTGTACTTACCAGTCGTGGTTTTGATCTCATGGAACAATAGCCACTGTATTTTGTCTCTCCATCCTGAGGTACTGTAGTATCAAGGTTCCCATATAGCACAGCAGATTGATTATTCCTACCTAATTTTAGGTAGACTTCACTTTTACCTCCGATTTCAACATCAGAAGAGATTACCCATTTTTTCAAATCTTCTTCACTACGAAACTCCCAAGCCACACGAACCTGTTCCAGCATGTAGTCCATCAAAGGACGTCCCTCAGGCCCCTTTACATGGTCAGTCATCTCTTTTCCTAAAAGTCCAAAATGTGTCTTGATCCCTTCCACTCCCTTCTGGAAACTGAAGTTAATCTTTTTCCATGGTGGGATCCTGTCAGGAGGTGTGCCTGGTCTCTTATAGCTACTGTACAATTTTGGATGGCAAACAAGAGGCCTAATCAAAGGATATAAGCAATTTTGCCCATGACATCGATTTAGAAGGAAGACACCATCCAGTACTTTAAGAGGTAGAGCCATAACAATATTCACAGAAAACTGAACTGTGCTCTGATGAACAGTTTCCGACACACTTGTCTTATCCAAATAAAGGAACTGTCATCTGTTTCTAATTAATGTTGTTTCTCTCCATCTGTAACAATAGAAATGAGGTAGATTTTTGAGATAAATCTGTTTTAAAACAGGATTGATTTGTTTTCCCAAGTTTTGCCAAGATATCAATACTGCAAATCACATTATTAACATCACAGCATGAGTGCAATGGTTGCCTAATAACATGCATCTTGCCCTAGCTAAATATTCTCAAACATAAACAATAAGTTGATTAAATTGTTTTATTTACTAGTGCTAGTTTACTAATATACTAGTTTACTAATATATTCACTAGTGCTTATTTTATCATTATGGAGAGAAATCAGAGACATTTACATTTGTAGAGAAAAATGTCACATAAGCATACACATGCAGTATCATGGAAAGTCTCTAATGGCACAATCCTATGCATGCTTAGACAGAAAAAGGTCTTGCAATTCCAGTGTGGAGAGTAAGTGTGATTGTCAGAATCCAGAACAGCCTTGATAGTTGCAGGATTTGTCCCAGACTCTACTGCAGCTGCCAGGGCATTCATGAGCACCAACTGGGAGCCCTGGGGGACCAGCTATTTATGAACAGGCTCATCTTTCCTAAAACTGCTTCAGTTATGCTGGTTTTTGGGATGCTGAAGGTTGAGGGAAAGAGGAATCAACTCTTCCAAGGTAGCAGCTCCTTACTACTATCTTCCTGGTTCCTAACCTTGGCTCAGTTTGACCATGTTCCTGTCTGCTGGACTGTACCTTGTCTGGCTCTTCAACTGACTCCTAGTTTTGACCCTGGCCTGTTTGGTATTGTAACCTGTACTGGTGATTGAACTCTGGCCTTGTACCAGCTTGCCTTGATCCTGTTGTGTTTACTGGTTATCTGGGGGCCCATGCTCCAAACTGCTACAGTGGTGTAGTGATTAAGCATGCTACACTGAGCCTCGGGAAAACTGGGTTCTAGTTCTCACTTGTCCATGAGGCCCACTGGGTAACTTTGAGCTAGTCAGAGTCTCAGCCTATCCTACTTCTCTGTTGTGAGGATAAAGTGAAGTGCCTTATAACCTGCCTTGAGATATAAATGCAATGTAGTAATAATTCAATTCCCAACCTCTAATTGTGTGCAAGCTGTAATTCTATTCACATTTTACTTGGCAGGCCCAATTAATTCAGAGGTACTTACTTTTAAGCATGTACACATAGGACTTGCACTTTAACCATTTCCCACAGCTGCTTAAAAAGCATGATGACATGTAACAATGGCAATCATATCTGTTCTATCTATCTATCTATCTATCTATCTATCTATTTATTTGAGATTCTTATATGCTGCCCCATTCGCACAAGCCTAGGGGTGGCTTCCATCAAATAAATAACAATACAAATATGTAAAAACTAGAAACATCCAGGCAATAAGTTAAAACAATAAATAAATTAGCAATTAATTAAAATAACGTTTAAATAAAAAGGTCTTGGCCTGGCACCGAAAAACAAATAACGACGGCACCAGGCAGACCTCTCTGGGGAGCGCATTCCATAAGTGGGGCGCCACCACAGAGAAGGCCCTCCTCCGGGTACTCACCCTTCTAATATCCTTCACAGAGGGTTCCTGGAGAAGGGCCTCTGCCGCTGATCTCAGGGGGCGGGAGGGCAAGTATGGACGCAAGCGCTCCTTTAGGTAACCAGGTTCCAAGCCGTTGAGGGCTTTATAGGTGATAACTAACACCTTGAATTGAGCCCGGACTTCAATGGGGAGCCAGTGAAGTTGACGGAGGACTGGGGTTATATGAGAACAACGCCCAGTCCCCGTCAGCAACCTGGCAGCTCTATTTTGCACCAACTGAAGTATCTGGACTGTCTTCAAGGGCAGCCCCAGGTAGAGCACGTTACAGAAGTCTAGTCGGGAAGTAACCAATGCATGCATCATTGTTGCCAGGCAGTCGTCCTCCAGGTAGGACGCAGCTGATGGATTAGCCGAAGCTGATGGAAAGCGCTCCTTGCCACCGCCGACACTTGAGCTTCCAAAGTCAGCTTTGGGTCGAGGAGCACTCCCAAGCTGCGGACCCTGTCCTTCATAGGGAGTGCTACCCCATTCAGGACAAGGTCCAGGTCCCCCCTCCCGAAGCCTGAACCGCCTACCAACAGGACCTCTGTCTTGTCTGGATTGAGCTTCAGTTTCTTGGCCCTCATCCAGGCCATTACCTCGGCCAGGCACCGGTTCAGTACAGCCACTGCCTCACCTGGATTGGTTGAAAAAGAGAGGTAGAGCTGGGTATCATCAGTGTACTGATGATTCCGCAGCCCACAACTCCTAATGACCTCTCCCAGCGGTTTCATGTAGATGTTGAATAGCAACGGGGACAAAATGGACCCCTGTGGAACTCCATGGCATAACTGCCATGGCGCAGAGCCATAGTCCCCCAGCACCACCTTCTGGAATCGGCCATTGAGATAGGAGCAGAAACACTGCAAAGCAGTGCCTCCAACCCCCAATCCCACTAGCCTATCCAGAAGGATACCATGGTCGATGGTATCGAAAGCCGCTGAGAGGTCCAGGAGAACCAACAGGGACGCACTCCCCGTCTCTCTCCCTGCACAGGTCATCATACAGGGCGACCAAGGCAGATTCAGTACCATACCCGGGTGTGAAGCCGGACTGAAATGGGTCCAGATAATCAGTTTCATCCAAGAGTGCTTGGAGTTGTCCCGCCACCACCCGCTCTAACACCTTGCCCAAGAACGGGATATTGGCCACCAGTGTATAACTGGTGGCCGTCTCTGGATCCAAGGATGCCTTCTTTAGGACTGGCCAGACTACCAGCTCCTTTCGAGGGGCAGGTACCCGGCCGTCCCTTAGAGAGGCATTGACAACCTCCAGGATCCGGGTCCATATCCCGTCCTTGGCTTTCTTGAGTAGCCAAGAAGGGCAAGGGTCCAATAAGCATGTGGTGGGACATACTTGTCCAAGCACCTTGTCCACATCATCAGGCCACAATAACTGGAACTCATACATCAATTGTGGACCAGACGGCAACATTGGTTCCTCCCCTGAAGGCTCTAGGTCACTAGTGCAGTCCAGCTCATGACGAATCTGAGCTATTTTCTCCTTAAAATGGTCATCACAGCGGGCCAACGAGGGCGGTACAGGACCTTTCTTGGGGCCCAGATGAACCAGCCCATGTACCACCCGAAAAAGCTCCGCTGGACAGCATTGTGAGGAGGCAATGGAAGCAGAGAAGAATTTCTTCTTCGCCGCCCTCACTGCCACAGCATAGGCTCGATAATGAGTTCTCAAGTGTGATTGGTCAAATTCATCCCATGATTTCCTCCACCTACGCTCTAGGCATCTCCCAACCCGCTTCATCGCCTGTAATTCAGGTGTATACCAAGGGGATGAATGGGCTCTGCCAGGCGGGAGAGGACGCTTAGGAGCAATCATGTCAATAGTCCTGGTCATTTCCCCATTCCACAGTTTGACCAGAGCATCGACAGGAGCACCAGCCTTATCAACCAGAAATTCCCCCAGAGCCTTCAGGAATCCATCCGGATCCATCCAGCTCCAGGGGCAGACCAACACAATTGAGTCTGAACCCTTACAAAGGGAAAGGCCACTCTCGAGCTCAAACCTCACGAGGAAGTGATCTGACCATGACAGGGGAGTCAGACATAGATTCCTCACCCTCCGATCCCCCTCTTCCTGCCCCGTTGAGAAAACCAGGTCCAGAGTGTGTCCACGTTCATGGGTCGGGCCGATGACATGTTGAGACAGCCCCACGGCCATCATGGAGGCCATGAAGTCCTGAACTGCCCCGGTCAGAACTGTCTCGGCATGGAGATTGAAGTCCCCCAGGACCAACATCCTGGGGGTCTTCAACACCAGGTCCGAGACAATCTCTGTCAGTTCAGGCACGGAGTCTGTTGGGCAGAAGGGTGCACGGTACACCAACAGAATCCCCAGTCTGTCTCGGTCGCCCAACACCAAATAGAGGCACTCTGGACCCGGCCTCGAGAGACCAGAAGCCCCGTGAGGGAGATGGAAGCTCGATAAAAAATGGCAAAAGAGCAACAAACTTATGTGCTCACTTGATGATCTGCACTAGAGTATGGGTGGAGAGGAACTGCCTTTTTGCTACAGAGGGGTGCAAAAGCAATGTAAGTGTCTAGTGGAGCTAGTATGTCCAATTCTACTGATATAAACAAGCTGTTGGTGGAGAACAGCCCCGCAAAACTGCATTACCACTATAACGCCTGCCACCAAGGCAGGTGATTAAACTCCCACCTGTCCCATTACTCCCCAATGGACCAAATCAGGATTGCTCTTTTTAAAAATCAAGTAGTAATTTGTTGTTGTTTAGCGAAGCCGCATCCTATCCATCGCGTCCTCCATGCAAATAGTAATTTAGGTACAACCATTACAAGATTAGATCAGTTCAGCCAGTTGAGTAAATTTAATATAGTGAACAACAGCAAGAGAATGCAGCCTAAGCAAAAGTTAAATTTACTTATTTATACAAGTATTTATAAGCTGCCTATAACTGCCAAGGCTTTCCTAGGTGGTAGCACTCTTATGCTAGAATTAATCCAGAACAGCCTTAGCATTAAGACAGAGTCCTTCACTGTATTTATCACCTAGCGTAAGATACCACAGGGCTGCACTTGAACAATCTGGTTTCTATTACCTGCTCAGTCATGTAGCCAGCTGGGTGACTTTGGACTAGTCACAGACTCTCTACAAAGGTACAACATAGGGTGGTTGTTGTGGGGATAAGCTTGAGAGCAGCAGGATGAGAGCTATTGGCACTGTCAAATTTTCAAGCTGATTAATGAAAAAAGGTACAAGGGCTTAAGCCAGCCTGAATTTCATTTGACTGGGACAGTTTGTTCGCTAGCTGCCATCTGTTCCAGGGCATCAGACGAGAAAAAGCTGCCAGGGGAGAACCCGTCAGCACTCTGTTTCAGAACGATTTTAGGGTGTTTTCTGAGTGCTCATTTAACGGGATCTTAAACCGCGTTAGTAACACGCGGTTACTAACAAGTAGATTGACTAAAGGGGCCAGGTAGGAAAGACACAGTGCATGGATCTGGGCGCAAAGTTACCTCTCATAGACCCGTCATTTCCCCATCCCACCGTACCCGCGCTCCCGATTACCTTCACTTGTCTTCTGCGAAGTTTCCAGACTAAGTTCTTCTTTAGAGTCCCACGTTTAAAACCGTCCTGACGTTCCCCCACACCGAGTCTAGCTTCAATCTCTGCTCTGCTAGGAAACAAGAGCTGGACGCCAAAGGTTCCGCTCCGCACACGGGAGCCTCCCTTCTTCAGGTCGCCAAAACAAAAGCGCTGCCTCCTCCGAGTGGAAGCGATTCGGCCTTCCACGGCCCTCTTGAAAGGAGAAGGGTGCTACCGCGTTTCTCTTGGTAACAAGAAACCGTCGTAGATCAACCTAACGGCTGAAAGGCGACTAGCGATGACAACGGGCTTGGAGAGGTTAACAGGCCCTGCCGTTCACACGGTCTCTTAGAAAGGCCTCTGCTTCAGGAATGTTTTGACAGTAAGAGTGATGGCTCTTGTATTCCACTGGCTAGACAACACATTAACCATTGACAATCACCTAGGAGAAACAGTCATTAACACTGCCCCACCTTTTCCCTCCCGCCAAGACGCCTTGGAAGACTAGAAACGAGACTTATTTCTCCCCCCATCCAGTTCTAACCGGCCAGTGGCGCTCCTCCGCTGGCCCCGCCCACGAACGACGCTAGCGTCTTGGCCCCGCCTCGGCAGGCGGGTCGGCACACGGCGCATGCTCGGTGCCCTTTGTGTCCCGGGCTGGTTGGCTGGCGGGCGGCTGGCTCGGCGAAGGCCTGGCAGCTCCGAGTGCCGCACCGTCTGCGGGGCCCGCTTTGAGGCGAGGAGCGGCGGCGGGCCAGCTCCGCCATGGTGAAGAAGCGGAAAGGCCGGGTCCTCATTGACTCAGACACCGAGGACAGTGGCAGCGAGGAGAACCTGGACCAGGTGGGTAGCAGCGCCGCCGCCGAACTGGGCCCAGAACTCCGTTCTCGTTTCCGTCAGCATCGCTCTGCATGGGTGCTTGAAGGAGCCCTCGAGCCTAGTATATGTTTTCCCCACTTCCCCTCTCCCTCTGAGCTTGTGGAGAAGCGGGCTGAGTGCCTTGGCATCTCAAAGAGAGTGTGTGAGTGCAATTGGTGGGGGGGCATGGGGGAAGAAGGTCTCCTGGAAACAAATGCGAATTGAGGGCATGGAAGGGGCGTGTGGGAGGAGTAGGTGCAACGTACCTCGAAAGTGGTGAGGCTTTGGAGATACAATGTTAGGCAATGCACTAGCGGATAGAGAGAATTAGTAGTGATGCGCTAACAGAGTCCACTATAGCAAGTGGCAGGATGGGTAGGCAAGGTGTATTTTTGTGCTGTGAATAGTCATGTAGCTGGGGTTCACCTGAACTCCTGTCTTAATGGTACTTGGTGGTTGGGATGGAAACGTAGTTAGTCTTATAGTTCTTGGAACCCTTGTAACAAATACTTCAGGTGTTAGCGTTTCTTCACTAAGAGGAGTTTCCCCATGTGATGTCTGATTTAGGTTCCCATTGATGTGGGCAACTTCTGTGTTGCCGCCAGGTGGATGGAAGTGTCCCCCCTCCACACTGCCGTTCTTTCCAAGCTTTGTATTGTTGAATTGCTTAGTGTCCCAAACGCCATAGCTTTAGGTGGTGCCTCCTTTAGCTTTTCTCCTCCTCTCAGCATATACTCTACTCTTAACGTTTTACTGATCCTTTTCTTGCTACAACAGTTTTCAAGCCACTCTTGGTTCTTTACAGAGAGCAGTCATTCGTGTTTGGTTTTGAATAGTGAGGTCTGTGTTGCAGTCTAGATACTTGTCTGGCACCTGTGCCTTTAATGTGCTTGCTTCTCTTCTCTCTTTGCCTCTGTGTATGTAAGATATAAATGTGGTATGTGAACAAATTGTTGTTGTTGTTATTTTGGCTTGGTCAGTAGAGCAGTAGGACAGCTAGCAAAAGGATTCCTCTTCTTTTTCTTCCTTTGTAAAAGAAAGTTCCAAATTAGAAAATAGTATTTACTTCTTGGAAAAGTAGACTTTGTGTTTCACTGAAAAGTAAGATATGATTGCTTCTCCTGAGTCCTTGCTTAAGAATAAGTTTAAGCCCATTTCTGGCATGAATTCAGGTTGGAGAAGCCATTCAGGAAGTTCTGGTGGCCTATTACCAACCTGAAGGTTCCATATCCACTGTCACGCAAACAACTTACCAGTTGTATCTTGTGGTGCATAATACAAATCTTTCTCAAAGTTTTTTGTCATTTATCACATGGTTTTGCTGTGCATGTTTCTGACCTTACTACAGGACTTTTTCATTGTTCTCATCATCCAATTTCACTCTTAGATCCTGCAATGGTTTCTTATAGGAATGTAAGATGCCCCCTTTCCTGGGTCAGACTGGCTTAGTATTGTTGATGCTGAATAGCAGAGACCTTCCTGGGTTTCTGGTGTAATTCTTTCTTAGCCTTATCTGGAGATGCTGGCGATTGAACTTGAGACAAAGCATGCAAAGCATGTACATTTCTGCTGAGCTATGGCTCATTAATATATGCTATTATTAATGCTAGGTCACTTACAATGTATTATTGGGGCTCAGGATTCCTCAGAATGTATGTCACCTCTTTCAGACATGACTGAATCTAATCCACCTAAAGAGGGAGATGACAGTAAAAGGAGAATTCTGCATCAACATAGTCTCTTCTTCTAATGTTAATAGAATAATACTGTAGGAGACCCATTACGTAAGGCCTAAGGGTGACTATGGAAGCTTCCTACCCCATCTAGAGCTATGAACAGTCCAGCTTGCTCAACCTTCTCAAATAAGGTTTCACACAGTCAGGTGCAGATTTAGACAGACAATATGGTCATGGAGGCCCTCATAAAGCATGAGGGAAGCACTTGTTCCAACAATTCCTGATCAGGAAGATCTTTACCTACTCATGGTGGAGTATTTCAGAACTAGTTGAGGGATATTGAGATAGTTCAACTGGTTGTTGACCTTTAGAGAAGGCTGTCAATCAGTCTACCACCAATTCCTGCTCAGGGTTCCAAAACTCAAGGCAGAACTGCAGATCCCCTATCAGTCTAATGCCCTCTCCCTGAGACTTTCATTGTGCCTTTCCACAGCTAATAAGAACCCTGTGCAAGTTGAAACACAAAAGGCAGAAGTTCTTATTGGTGTTTTTGATCACAATGTCAGTGCTCCATCTAAAGCACAAGTGGTGCTCAGACTATACATCTTGGAAATGGAATAGCAACAGCTCCTAGACTTGGAACTGTCAGATGATGGTTCTTACAATTCTAGTCTCCTATTAGTCTTCTACCAGCAAGGTAGTCTGGTTGATGGTGCTCTAAAAGTGGTAAAAAGTCAGTGCATTGAGCCTGATGTCACTGAGGTGTCAACATTATCTTTGCTCCAGTACACATGTTTCTTTTATGGACATCTCTTGCACAGGCATTTAGGCTAGCACTTAGACATTCATATAGCTTTAGAAGATTAAATAACTCACAGTGGTTGAAGTACCCTTCAATAGAGTTTCCCAGATCTGGGGATCCTGGTTTTCAGCCTTGACTTGCTGCCTTTTCCATTATCCTTCTAAGATTAGACAGTTGGGATGACTGGGTGCTACGGAGTACCTCTGCTAGAGGGGTGGTTTCAAAACTTAGCAGCCTGGTTATATAGATAAGGCAATTAACAACAATGTAACTAACACCTACTTTTTAAACATGTGCACTTCAAGTATGTCTCACTGAATTCGTTTAAAAATTTAAAAATAAGAGCATTGCCTGTCAGTTTAAATTCTTATACATATCTTTAATATTAGATTGGTAGGTTACATGGGAACAGGGAAAAGTAAAAAATTGATACTTGCTTATCTGATGTAAATGTGAGCTTTAATTTACTTTATATGCCATTGTCTGGTTATGTAATCTGAAGGTATAAAGTAGGCGTACCAGTGATGCACATTATTACCTGTTGGTAAATCTGGAAATATATCAGTAGAAAGCCCTTTTTTGCCTGTTTAAATTGCAAATCTCTGTAATATTTCTATTTGGCAAAATGAGTAAACAAACTTTTAATTGTTGTGCTGTTATCCTTTCAAATGGTAAGCTAATATAAACCAACATATCTGTGAGAATATTGGGTTTGGGAGTTACTTATAGTTCAGTATTTAAAATAAGAAGGATCTATGATTTATGGAATTAGGATGCAGAACACACAGTCTTCCAATTATTGTTGGATGGTAACTCTAGTGACCTTTCTCTGATTGGTCATGTTGGCTGAAACTGATGAGGGTTGTCATCCAAGAACATCTGGAGGGCTGCATCTTCTCTATCTCTGGTCAATTTTATATTGCCATCTTTTCTGATTGCTTGAAAATTGTAGATAGTACTGGTTCATCAGAATCAGAATTTTAGACGTAGAATAGTTCAAGTAAAAGACGCTGATGGGTTGGGAGAGAATGCTAGGACAGAAGAAAGTGCAAGTGCATCTTCAGTACTTTGTGAGGTGCCAACTTTTGACATGTTTCAAAGTTATTAGTCAGATTACTACTAAACACTTGCTAGGATTTGCAACATTTTCCACCTAACAGACTGGCAAACCTCTGCTGAGGTTCAGTTTTGCAGGCAAAGGCCCAGTCGATGAGACTATCCTAACCTGTGCCACTGATTTGGAAGCAATTAATGGGGTTATTGTAGCTATGGTTCAAGGTGTCATGGAAAGCATAGTTCTTACTAACTAGAAAAAGGAGCGAGGAGTAAATGAACATCCTGATGACCTAACAAACTTGGATATTAGATAGCATTATATCTGGAGAAGACCACTGTTGTAATCCTTTGTAGTTAACACTTACCTCTTCCCTTGCAGATTTTGCTGAGTTTTATAGTGCTTTCATTTCCGGAGTGCTTAACATACTTGCTGACATTTAGGAATCAATTGACACCTGCTCCCTGTGGTAACGCTTGGGATAAGTGGACTTTGGGATAAGTGGAGGTTTCCTTTATATCCATGACTTCCTGATTGTCAGACACTAGGTGGCATAGAATTCTGCAGTGGATCTACATAGGTGTTTGACTGATCAAGGCAAATGTAGGACACCCCTTTCCTTTTTGCCCTGGGAGCAATTTTAGTTAAGGTGATAAGTTATGGGAGCACTCCCATAAGCAAATGTTTAATGTGGCAGGCTGCCTGCATTTTTCAACTGGTCAATCCTGTGATGTTGTATGGTAGGAAATTCATTGAGAAGTATGTTTTTTTTAACATGTAGTATCTGGCTCAGAAAATGTCTAAGGTACCATTTTGTAATGTGGCCAGCCATTGTCTTCATTTTACATTGCCTTTCTTGCATAAATAATAAATTGCAATATTTATTCAAAATCAAATTACACTCAATTACCTATTAAAAACCCCAAGCCACTTAAAGTGTGATTCAGCAGAGATACCCTTAAGTAGGTGGATTTGATTTAAATCAAATCATTTGAAATCTCTAGTCAGTAAGACTAGTTTTAAATAATGGTTTTCAAAATAATTTGCACACATGCCTGCCTTGTTTGTAGGAAGAGGAACTTCATTAAAATATTCCCAATCTAGGTCTCTAACAACTTGCTGCCAGCATTATAGGTTCTCTCCTCCAGGGAAAGGATAATATGATAAACCTCAGGCTATATACGAAAAGATCCAAAGACTCCAAAGACTCGCAGAGTATTCTGCTCAAAAGGTTTCACTTTCATTTCTACTGCTAGCTCCTCCCTCCTCACACTTAGCTTCTGTTCCGCACCCAACAATCTTCTTGTATTCATTGCATTTTTTGAAACTTAGCACTGAAGAGGTAAGGGGTTGATTCTGTGTACATAGATTTGTAAAGGAACAATGGAATTATGGTCTTGTTTTCAAGTCTATATGTTTATTTTATAACATTTTTGCTGTGAAGAAGCATGTGATCTCAGCAGGTGGAAATTCACAGCCTTGAGAACTGTAAAATCAAGTATCTGTGATAATCTAGAAAAATTGGGTAATAATGTTACAGAAACCTCTGGAAGAGCATGACATTGTGAATGGAATGCATTTAGCAAAAAAATTAAACATTGCATGAGTATATAGCTTTATGCTACATAATTAAAAACTAATCCTTATTTCATTATGAAGAACCTTTGGACTACAATGTACAGTGGTACCTTGGCTCACGAACTGAATCCGTTCCAGGACCCTGGTCGTGACCCAAAATGATCATGAGCCAAGTTAAATTTCCCCATAAGGTTCAATGTAAATAAGGTTAATCCGTTCTGTAACTTCTTTTTAAATCAGAAAAATGTAAAGCAAAGTGACAAAGAACAACAAAGATCGCGGCCATCTCCCCCCACCCTGTCTGAGCACAGGCATGGCCATCTCTCCCCCCTCCCCAAGCATGACCGAGATCACACCCATCATCCCTGCACATGCCTGTCATTCCGGCACGCTGGGGGATGGAGAGATGGGTGCAAATGGGATGTGCTGGGGGAGGGAGAGACGGGCACAATCTCGGCCATCACCCCACTGGTGGGGAGATGGCCGCGATCGTGTGGGGAGGGGGGAGATTGCTGAGATTACGCACGTCTTCCCTGCACAAACACAACTGCGATCGTGGCCATTTCCCCATTCGGGCGAGGGGAGGAGATGGCTGCGATCTTGGTCGCCATCCAGTGTGGAGTTCACGACCCACGTCAAAGTGTTCATGAAATTTTTGTTCTTGACCCAATCTGGTCGTGAACCAAGGCATTCGTGAGCCAAGGTACCACTGTGTCTTAAATAGAAAACTGTCTTTAGATAGATTCTTTTCCTCAAAAAGCATTTTTTTAAAAAAAAATCCAATTTAAATTTTTAAAATCTAATTAAATATTAAACATCACTGATTTTTATCCACCCTACTCATAAGCTTCTGAAGTCAGAGAGTTATGGTCATTCTGTGCTGGGTATGAGGAGCATGAAGGCATTCATAGTGTCCTTGTTCCTCCCACCCTGCCAACCAACTAGATGACCAATTTCAGCACTCTCATTTATTTATTTATTTATTTATTAGAACATTTCTGTGCTACCCCTTGCCAAAGCCTCGGGGCGGCTTACAACACAATAAAATACAATACAATACAAAAATAACAATATAAAATTAAAATTAACAATATATAATAAATAAAAATATAAAAGATATAAAAGAAGTTATAAAAGAAAAGAAGTCGCCCTGGCCAGATAGACATTACAGAGTTTTAAAAGGGGGGGGGAGGCTGTAGTATTTTCATAATACATTGTTTATGGGCAGACCCTGGCTTCTCTATCCCTTCTCCCAGAAGACCCATTTTATTCCTTCTCTGAGATCACTGTTCTGATATCAGAGAAGCACCTGGCTCAGTTTTTTCAACTTGCAAATTATAGAGATGACAGACTGAACATGAATCCCCAGCTCAGAAGTTGGAGCTTTTTTCCAAGGTCAGATGTGGCAATCCAGTGCATCCTGTGGCCATGTAGATGCTATGTAGAGGGCCATAGGGTCAGTCTGCTCTCAACATAACAAAAATAAGATTTTTAAAGGTATTTGGTATACACTTGATACATCTACTGGAAGCTTGTAAGGTCAGGTGCTTGTGAACATTCCTTAGGAGGAGTTCAAAGGAGTAGGGTTGTGAAAGAAAAAGCCCTGCTTATTTTCATCTAGTTTATATTTTAGTTTTTACCTTATTGAGCAATAAATGGCATACCATTGTTACCTTATCCTAAGGGAGATTGCTTAGAAAGCTTAAATGGGAGTAGTAGAAGGAGAAGTACACTATTGGAAATTGTTTCTCTCAGATTTGGAAGAGTCTGTTCATTTTCGAGTTAACTCTGTACTTCTGCTTCCACCAGGAGCTCCTGTCATTGGCCAAACGGAAACGTGGTGACTCTGAGGAAAAGGAAGCACCTGCAAGCAAACCTACAGCGTCTTCAGACTCTGAGACTTCAGACAGTGATGTTGAGGTAAGTTCTCGTACAAACATAGATGGTATCAAAGAAGCTACTGTGAATTACTATCTTACTAGTGAGAGAGATATAAATAACAAGAACATAGAAGTATTTGTATATTTATTATTTATTTATTTAGAATTTTTGTATGCCGTCCCATCGCATAGCCTCGGGATGGCTTACATAAAATAAACAAACATAATACAAATAATACAAATAAAATCCAGATTCACCCTGGCTGCAAATTAAAACCTTATAGATGATATTAAAAGTTATTAAAATATTGTTTAAATAAAAAGGTCTTAGCCTGGCACTGAAAAACAAATAATGACAGTGCCAGGCGGACCTCTCTGGGGAGCGCATTCCATAGGCGGGGCGCCACCTACAAACGCCTGGTATACTTGGTGTTGCCTGCTTGTATGGAATATGTCTATATTTCAAAAACAGTGTTTGCACTCTGCTTTCCATAGATGATGACCTGAAAGTGGCCTTACTTGAACAAAAGAAACAAAACTTCAGAAGAATATTCCAGTAGAAAATTGCTGAAATTACAATTTAACAAGTTCAGCTGTTGCTTCTGGTTTAACTACAAAAAATCACTTCATTTCCACCTGATCGCACTGTTTACATTTTTCTCTACCTGCAGCTGCATAACCTTTGTATTCTAGGTCTGAAAGTTATACCAGCCTTTCCTATCTATAAATGTGCTGAGATACAACTCCCATTACGGTCATTTTGTCAGGTGATGATGGGAAATGTAGTACAACACTTTTGACAGGTGGTAGGTTGGAGAACACCAGCTTATGCCATAACAAATGTGTTACTGTTTAAAGCACCATGAGATTGTTTTTTGTTTTAACGGACTAACATGGAGATAATATTCAGTTAACATGTCTCCCATTTATATCTATTTAAAATATGTATATATGGTTCTTCACCAAAGCTGGTTTCTGGATTGTTCACAGGATTAAAACAACACAAGCAATATACTACGTAATAAAACTAGCTAGCAAATTAAGAGTAATTAGCAAAGACTTAAAATGCCAAAGTATGAGAGAATAAACATGGATTTGCATAATGCCTGAAAAGAATATAATAGTCATCCCTGGAACACCTTTCTGGGAATGTCATTCCACATGTCATTCCACAAATGGGCCACCAAAGAGACCTTCTCTCTGGGTTTTACCCTTTATACCTCTCTCTACACAAGAAGGGAACTGTGAGAAGGCAATCTACTTACTTCAGTTTGGACAAATACCTGTCTCCCTGGCAACCAGTGCAGGCAGAAGTACTGGCATAATATTATCATATTGGCTTGTCCCAATTAGCAGTTTAGTTAGCAGTTTAGACACCATATTTTCAATGAACTCAAGTTTGTGGACCATTTTAAAGGCAGCCCCTTGTATAATATTTTGCAGTAATCCAAACAGGAAGTTACCAGAGCATGAATAACTGTTGCAAGGGTTATCTTGCAGGTGAACCATGTGGCAAAGAGTTTTAAATAGAGTTCTATATTCAGTTGTACTGCTAAAGAAAACAGTCTTAATGGCACCTGTGGGAAATATATAAAATCTATAAAAATTATTGATGCCATGAAACATCTAGAAAGGATTTTATATATTTGGTGGTGATCTAATAGGGGCTGTACAATATTTGAAAATTGTGGTTAATATAATCAGTAAAATTTTGCTTGCAATTGCAGCCTAACTATTTTGTGTTTGCTTCAAATGATATAGTTGAAGTCAGAAGGTATTTGCTATGTAATTGGGGTGGTTACGGGCAATGGACATTATGGCGTTGAGGGTCTAACATGTCTGCGTAGAAGAAGGAGGGACAGATGGCTAGCACCTGTTCCCCCTTCTGGTTATTCCCCCAGCCTGAGGGTTCCAGGTGGTCCTGTCAACCGCCCCCTAGGCCTGTCGGTGCTGCTGCTTAATGCCAGGTCGGTCCACAATAAATCTTCCCTCATCCTTGACTTGATTGTGGATGAGGGGGCTGACCTGGTTTGCTTTGCAGAGACCTGGGTGGGTGAGGAGGGGGATGTCTCCCTCTCTCAACTGTGCCCACCCGGGTATCTGATCCAGCACTGACCGCACCTGGAGGGAAGGGGAGGGGGGCTCGCTTTGGTTTATCGAGCCTCTTTTTCCCTTACGGGGCTTCCTGTCCCCTCGAGGCTGGGTCTAGACTGCCTCTACTTGCTGTTGGACAACCGAGACAGATTGGGGATTCTGTTGGTGTACCGTGCACCCTTCTGCCCAACAGACTCCCTGCCTGAGCTGATGGAGATCGTCTCGGATTTGGTGTTCAAGACTCCCAGGATGTTGGTTCTGGGGGACTTCAATCTCCATGCCGAGATGGTTCTGACCGGGGCGGCTCAGGACTTCATGGCCTCCATGGCGGCCATGGGGCTGTCTCAACATGTCACAGGCCCGACCCATGAACGTGGACACGCTCTGGACCTGGTTTTATTGACAGGGCAGGAAGAGGGGGATCGGAGGGTGAGGAACTTGTGTCTGACACCCCTGTCATGGTCAGATCACTTCCTCGTGAGGTTTGAGCTGGAGAGTGGCCTTTTCCTCTGCAAGGGTGCATACCCGATTGTGCTGGTCCGCCCTTGGAGCCGGTTGGATCCGGATGGATTCCTGAAGGCCCTGGGGGATTTCCCGGTTGATAAGGCTGGTGCTCCTGTTGATGCCTTGGTTGAACTATGAAATGGGGAAATGACCAGGACTATTGACATGATCGCTCCTAAGCGTCCTCTCCCACCTGGCAGAGCCCATTCATCCCCTTGGTATACTCCTGAATTACGGGCAATGAAGCAGGTTGGGAGACATCTAGAGCATAGGTGGAGGAAATCACTGGATGAATCTGACCGAACACACTTGAGAGCCCATTATCGGGCCTATGCTGTGGTGGTGAGGGCGGCGAAGAAGAAATTCTTCTCCGCTTCCATTGCCTCCTCACAATGCTGCCTGGTGGAGCTCTTTTGGGTGGTACAGGGGCTGGTACACCCGGGCCCAAAGAAAGATCTCGTACCACCTTCGAAGGCCTGCTGTGACGACTTTGCCAAGCATTTTAGAGAGAAAATCGCTCAGATTCGTCACAAGCTGGACTCTACTAGTGAATCAGATTCTACTGGGGAGGTGCCAATGTTACCGTCTGGTCCACAATTGAAGGATGAGTTCCATTTGTTGCGGCCTGATGATGTGGACAAGGTGCTTGGACAAGTACGTCCTACCACTTGCTTACTGGACCCTTGCCTATCTTGGCTACTCAAGAAAGCCAAGGACAGGATAGGGACCTGCATCCTAGAGGTAGTCAACGCCTCTCTAAGGGACAGCCGGGTACCTGCCTGTTTAAAGGAGGCGGTAGTCCGGCCAGTTCTAAAGAAGGCATCCCTGGATCCAGAGACGGCCGCCAATTACAGACCGGTGGCCAACATCCCGTTCTTGGGCAAGGTGTTAGAGCGGGTGGTGGCGGGACAACTCCAAGCACTCTTGGATGAGACTGATTATCTGGACCCATTGCAGTCCGGCTTCAGACCCGGGTACGGTACTGAATCTGCCTTGGTCGCCCTGTATGATGACCTGTGCAGGGAGAGAGATGGGGAGTGCGTCCCTGTTGGTTCTCCTGGACCTCTCAGTGGCTTTCGATACCATCAACCATGGTATCCTGGATAGGCTAGCGGGATTGGGAGTTGGAGGCACAGCTTGGCAGTGGTTCCGCTCCTATCTCAATGGCCGATTCCAGAAGATGGTGCTGGGGGACTATGGCTGTGTGCCATGGCAGCTATGCCATGGAGTTCCACAGGGATCCATTTTGTCCCCCTTGCTATTTAACATCTACATGAAACCGCTGGGTGAGGTCATTAGGAGGTGTGGGCTGTGGAATCATCAGTACACTGATGATACCCAGCTCTACCTCTTGTTCTCAACTAATCCAGGTGAGGCAGTGGCTGTACTGAACTGGTGCCTGGCCGAGGTAATGGGCTGGTTGAGGGCCAATAAACTGAGGCTCAATCCAGACAAGATGGAGGTCCTTTTGGTAGGTGGGATGGGCTTCGGGATGGGGGACCTGGACCTTGTCCTGAACGGGGTTGCACTTCCTCTTAGAGACAGGGTTTGCAGCTTGGGAGTGCTTTTTGACCCAGAGCTGTCATTAGAAGCTCAAGTAACAGCAGTGGCGAGGAGCGCCTTCCTTCAGCTTTGGCTGATCCATCAGCTTTGTCCCTACCTGGAGAACGACTGCCTGGCAACTGTGACGCATGCATTGGTAACTTCCCGATTAGATTTCTGTAACGTGATCTACGTGAGGCTGCCTTTGAAGACGGTCCGGATACTTCAATTGGTGCAAAATAGAGCTGCCAGGTTGCTGACGGGGACTGGGCATTGTTCTCATATAACCCCAGTCCTCCATCAGCTTCACTGGCTCCCCATTGAAGCCGGGCCCAATTCAAGGTGTTGGTTGTCACCTATAAAGCCCTCAACCGCTTGGGACCTGGTTATCTAAAGGAGCGCTTGCGTCCATATATGCCCTCCCGCCCCTTAAGATCGGCTAAGGAGGCCCTTCTCTGGGAGCCGTTTGTGAAGGATATTAGAAGGGTGAGTACCCGGAGGAGGCCCTTCTCTGCAGTGGCGCCCCACCTATGGAATGTGCTCCCCAGAGAGGTCGTTACTTGTTTTTCAGCACCAGGCCAAGACCTTTTTGTTTAAACAATATTTTAATTATAAATTTGTTGTTCTTATTTATTGGTTTTAAATTATGGCTGAGATACTCCCAATGTTTAATGTTATCCTATTCTATGTTTTATCTGCCTTGTAAGCCACCCTGAGGCTTTCTGTGATGGGTGCAGCATAAAAATGTTATTTATTTATATATATATATATATATATATATATATATATATATATATATATAAAAAATAAATGTAACTCTTCCTGAAGGGTATTCTTAACTTAATGTATTTTTTAAAATTTTATTGACTGAAAGTAACACTATATTCTTTTTTCCTTCTGAATTGATGTGCCTGATATCTATTTATATATAAATAAGAATATAAATAGTATTAAATTGGATTATGCAAGAACCCATCTTTCACCAATGGCAAATGGGCTTTACGTACCTAATTTTGAATAGATGCACAGGGAGGAATGAGTGATTACTACCCCTTGTCATTCACTGCCATTTTTTAACTTCAAGAGATTTTAAAAATACAGGAGATACAGTTGGAGCCATTTTTTTCCAGTACCTGAAAATTGTGCTGCTGTGTTCATCATTTTTTATTATGTACATTGGCTTTTTCCACGTGCACAAGTGCATACTTTTGGCTGTCCCAAACTTTGCCTGGTCAGTTTCCTTGTCTGCTTCAGCTGTTGAAGAAAGTGGTGAAGTATAGTAGGAAACAGACTGACAAGGCGAGTAGGCAGATTTGTGCACAGCTGCCAGCAGTCAATTGCCTAGCTGTCAATTAAAAAGTCAAGGGGAAAAACCAGTGAAAGTAGGTGAACCAAAAAGGAGTGATGCAACTATTAATGAGGTAATGGGTTGGCAGGGTTTGGGTTTTTTGCCACTCCTGTTGAATGGTTCACTAGCTGATCCCCACAACCCACAGTGGATCAGGGGTTTTTCCCTCTGCCACTGCCTTCCCCCATGGTCTTCCTGCAGGTACGTCGGGAACCTAGTATACCAGTATGGCAAAATCAATTTTGTCTCCCCTCTGCATAATCCCTTTGACAGTCAGTCACTGCCACCCACCATTTTTTGTGATCTCCAAAGTAATTGTCACTTTAAAGTGCCCCAAGTGGCACACTGGAACAGCCATCATTGGTTCATCACCTTATTTATCTATTCTTGCACCAAGAATGTGTACAAATGTGTTTTCTGATGTGAGAGAGTAGTCATTCAGAATTGCACAAGTGTGCACTTCTCACTATCCAGAAATGACAAACCCAGGTTTCAAATATATTACTTTAATTTTAGTTTAATGTAAACAAACATTTATATCCTGTCCTTTCCAACGAACGGCTCAGGACGGCTTACTTTATTACCTGACTTCTTTCAAAGGGCAGTATACAGATTGCATGGCTACATGCATCCCTGTCAAATAAACCCCATTTAACTGTCCAAAAAAAACCTGTTTTGAAAAAAAAAAACTCTCTTACATCTGACAAAAGTGCTACTGTTAATAGAGTGGGCTGCACTCTATTAACAGAAAGTTAAGAACACTGAGAACTGAAGAAGAAAAAACAATGTGAGAGTAAAAAGAGGGTTGCCTGGGGCTTTCTATAAGTGCACAAGATTCCTTTATAATCTCTCATATTTTTTAATGTATGTGCCTTTCCCTGTTGTTTTTCCATGGACACTGAGAAATAGAGAATTTCTCAGTGCAAAGTGGTGATGTGGCTGCAACACGCTTTTTCGCAAGGAAGAATCTGGTTGTGCCTTTGCTTTCACTTGATGGCTTACTGCATGGTAGCTTTCAAATGACACCTACAGTCTACAGTCTTTGAAGCCTAGCTTTGTGAGTGTCCATGAATCTCTATGTTCATGGATATTGACTAGACATACCTTCAAATGCTGAATGGTTGGAGTTGCATGCGGGTACAACTCTGAACTAACTTCCCATTGGTGTTTAAACTTGTGATATATTTGGGTAGTGACTTCAGCCCTGATTTCATTCTTCTTATGCTACAGTGGACAGTTGGAGGTTCTAAAAACAAAAAGAAAGGAAAAGCTGGGAAAGCAGAGAAGAAAGGTGCCATGAAGAAACCAACAAACAAAGCAGCCTCATCAGGCAGCTCTGATAAAGACAGCTCTCCAGAGAGCTCAGCACCTGAAGAAGGTAAGAATGGATGTGACAATGTGAAGGATTTCATTGGGGTACTCACTTTCTTTGGACTTGGAGGTCACGGATTTTTCTCTAAATAGTGTTATTTTTTCCTGCAATGGGCTGGGCTGATATACTAAATTATATTATTTTAAGCCTGCTTCTGTCCTTGCTTTTAGATGCAGAAATGAATGGGGGAAAGGAAGGCACTTTAAGTCTTCCTTAATAAAATACCAGGGATTTTATTTGCCTGTTTTGTTCTTAGGCCTTTATTGCTTAGGCCTTTATTGCTCAATATGCAAATTCAGTATCTTGGAATTAACCCTGTAACTCTCTTAGCTATATAGAAATGGTGTTTCTGATGTATGATGTTTCTTTATTCTGTAAACTATATCAAGCTCGTCTTTACACATTGTTATGTAGAAGAAAAGTCATATCCTGGCTTATCTAATATAAAAATATTACAAAGAAATAATGAATAAATGTCACAACAAAGTTTTCAGAAAGTGCCCTCCTGCCATAAGCCTTGATCTCTCTTGTTCAGCTCTCTTGGCTTATACAGGGCTTTACAACTGTTGCTGGGAAAAGTGTGTGAAACATTGAGGAATACCAATAACTTGTACACTAAAACATCATCTTTACCCATAGTTATTAGCATTCAGCTTGTATACTGAAGCACAAGTCCCTCTGATTGGCATATGTGAGCATAAATCTCTGTGTTCTGAGAGTGAGACAGAATAGTACGTGTGCTTAGCTATAAGAATAATAATAAATATTAGCTGGGTGAGGGAGACTGAGAGCAAAAAGGCATAGGTTAGTTGAAGCATTAGATTTCTTAACTTTTCTCTTTAATAAGCCTTAGTGGGCGGGGGGAGGGTTAAACCTTCAGGAATGTGTTTCATCTGTGTCCTTGCTGTAACATTCTTTGCAGGAACATGCCCTCAGAATAGAATGAATCATCCAAATAAACGTAACTTCAAGTATTTGAAATTTTTGTAATCTTCTTGACATTATTGGACCTTTGGCCTGTGTCTTGTCTGTTTTGCCTAAAGTTATTTTTAGGCAAAGTTTGAGTCTTGCAACTGAGTACTATGCAGAGTTATGCCCACCTCAGTGTCTTGATGTCAATTTATTAAGGGATAACAAGGGATGTATTAATGTTAATTATTAAGGTTGGGACAAGCCCTATCAGAATCCATCCTGCCTAGTATTTGCAGGCTTCCTCTTGTGCTTGGCCCAGTCTTCCAAAGTGCGCCAAACCAGGAGGAGGTCCACAAGCACTTACGGAGTCCTGGTTGTGCCACCAGCAACTTCTTCACCATCAGATGCAGCTGCCCAAACAGCAGCTGCACCTAGAGTGGGAGAGCGATGCAGCTTGAGGAGTGTGTAAGATTCAGTTCCTGGCAAGCACCCCACAAATGTTGGGCATGCTCACCAGCAAGTCAATCGCAGGATGGCTGCCGTGCAGACTAGATTTCTGGGAGCCCAGTCCAGGAAATCTGATGGATTCCCACTCCTGAACAGATTCCTCACACATCCCTATTTATTATCTCCTAGCATAGTAAGAGTTTGTCAGTGATACTTGTAACTTTCTCACATTATATTTGCATTTTCTTGCCATTCGTGTACATGACACATTCTGAAACAGCATAAGCATAGTGCAGGTCCTTGCCTGAGAAGCTTAGAATCCAAATTTAGAGGATACAGGAGTGAGGTGGCTAAGGAAAGAAAAGGGTAATAAGGAATGGGCATCAGCAAGCACAGTTATATGATGTCTTTGGGCTTGTCCTGGAGTTTCTAGGCTCCCTTTCATAACAAACTTTTTCTGATTGTTTCAGGTGAAGTATCTGACTCTGAAAGTAACAGCTCTTGTTCCAGCTCAGACTCAGATTCCTCTTCTGAAGATGAGTTCACTGATGGCTATGGGGAGGACCTCATGGGTGATGAAGAAGACAGAGCTCGTCTAGAACAGATGACAGAAAAGGAGCGAGAACAGGAATTGTTTAACCGGATAGAGAAGAGAGAAGTTCTGAAGAGAAGGTGACCTATGCAACCATTTTAGGAAACTCCCCTCCCCTCACCCCCATTTTAGACTTTTTTGCCTATTTGCCATCATGCCTACTTTCCTTTTAACATGGAAGGTTATCTGCAAATTGATTCCTAGTTGCTTTTTGGGTTGTTAGGTTTTAAAAAATCCTTAAATGTCAATGTATAAAATAACTACACTTCCTCAGGGTATATGAAATTAGCAGCCTATGTTAGTTTTGTGTTATACTGTAATTGCTCCAGTATTAGCCACCAAACACAACACATACTGGAAAAAGTAATTTCTTGTACCACTTTCAGACCCATTTTTGGCTGCAGAGCTCTTAAAGGCTCAGGTATATATTTAATCCCTCCCCCCCCACCTCCCTCCCCCACCATTTACCAACCAATAGCCAAAGCTCTCAAAGTGTGTCACAGCAATTAAAACCACAAAAGAGACTATGATAGAATACAACAGAAAAATGTAAAACTACAATATAAGTTAAGAATAAAACCTAGCAATGCAAAAGATTTAAAATACAGCATTTTTTAAAAACAAAGGACTGAAAGACTAAAATGCCTGTGAAAATACTTGGCACTGAGAAGAGCACCACATAAGGCTGACACCACTCCTTTTCTCAAGGAGGAATTTGCAACCAGGTGGATACCTTCTTATTAGTGGTAATGAGATATGAAAGGCAAGACTTAGGCACACAGGTAGTCAGCTGTACTCAACCAAGCAGCTTGTCTGCATCCGTGAGTGTCAACAATGGAAATACATCCAATAAAACTGAACCAGACAGTGCTGGAACTGCATTAATTCTGTTGTCCAGTTCATGTTAGATTTAAGTGATTGTATCTTCAAAAAGCTGCATAAACTTGTCACAGCGTGTTACCAAGGATTCCTCCATTATTTCTCCTGCCCAGATTGTAGCAGGCCATGAACTACTCAGAGAAGCGTTACCAGTGCTGAGAAAAGGCAATGGTGGTGAAAAAGAACTCTGCTTTCTTTTGCCCACATCACTACACAAGTTAGGCTCAATAATGTGTTTGATCACAATTGGCCTGAGTTGTCCTCCACCTGCATTCTGGCCATTCTGCTTCACTGCTTTCAGCGCAGGAGTATGCCAAGGACATGGCTGCACTCTGCTTAGAGGGAGAAGGCACTTCAGTGTGCTTGTGTCAGTTGCCAAACTCATCCTTGCATTCCACAGAGTGACCTGTGCTTCAATAGGAGCACCAGCCACACCAGCAGGAGAATCCCCCAGGGCTTTCTGGAGTCTATTGAACCACATCAGCCTCCACAGGCAGTCCATTACAATAGGTCCCTTCTGCTGCTTCCAGGAGCGTGCAATCTAATTTGGGCTGAAATAGGGTGGCAAATTTTGATTGTTTTCTGCAGTATAAATCATGGTAGACTTTCATCTGCAGCTGTTTGAATTGTAGATTTCTAAAATGAACTTGGTCAGGTAAAGCTCTTCATTTCCTGGTGTAACTAAATGACTAAGTGTTTGCTGTTTCATTCTGATGTTACTAAATCTGCTTGTAAAGATTATTTGGGCTTCTCATGTATACAGAAAAGCAGACTTCCTCAGCCTTGGGCTGCACTGTTGTGCTGAGCTGCACATTGGGGAATGCTGCAGTCCACTTTCAGTAAATCCTAACTTAATTTCTTTGTTGCCTGGATCTTTTCATTTTTCTGGACTCTGCTTGCTGCAGAGGTAGATAAAAATTAGTCATCATTGACTAAACTAAAACTACCATCCCCACTTGAACTGATTTACCTCCTCACTTCTAGATGCACTTTCCTCTAAAACTGAGCAGTAAATACCTAATTTTGCTAATAGTTTGCATAGATTTTTGGTAGTAGTGGACACATTTTTATCTAATTCACTGTTACTATAACAAAGGGGCTTAGGTTCATTCCTGTTTATAGTTCTCTTGCTTAACATGTTTAATCATCCCTAATATTTTAGTCCTCTACTGATTTCCAATGCGATTTGAAACTGATTATAGCCTCCATCTAATCTTTTCTTAATCTCATTCTGAGTCCAGGTTTGAAATAAAAAAGAAATTAAAGACAGCAAAAAAGAAAGAAAAGAAAGAAAAAAAGAAAAAGCAAGAAGAAGAACAGGAGAAGAAAAAGCTCACACAGATCCAGGAATCCCAGGTGAGAAAGTTCATTTTACCGCATGGGTTCCTAAAGTGTGACCTGCTGCCGAGCACTGGCAACCTTAAGAAGGGGCTTCTGTGGCAGAAACCACAGAATGCATTGCTGGAACCAGTTTTTCTTTCCTGCTGCTGGACTTTCAAAGCATATGCCCAATTTTCTGCTGCTCTTGTGTTGCCAGTGGCAGAGCAGCAAGTAATCAGCACATTTGCTTGACAAATTTGTCTTTTACCTACTTTCTCTTACACTGTTTACAAACATTTAGGTTCAGTATTTACAAATGTTTAGGTTTGGTGCTAAAAAGATGTTTTGCCAAAAAAAAAAAAAAAAAAGATTTTATCTTTAACATTTATATCCTGTCTTTCAAATAGGTTATCAGGATTGCTTAAAAGGAAAATATTTTTGTAAACACAGTAAAATAGATGGTATATAACAATAAATTAAAAGCAACAAATCCATAAAAGCAGCATAAAAATAATATAGCAGTTGGAATAAAACCATCAGCCATTGTAGGCAGGTTAGAAAAGTTTAAAAGCCTGGTGAAATAAGTTCTTGGCCTGGTACCAGACAATCCTCTCTGAGGAGTGCCTTTCAGGGCACCATCTCTGAGAAGTTCTTTATTCTGTAACACTCTGCCAAACCTCCAATAGTTGAAGAACCCAGAGAATCTTGTTATCCTAAAGTATGAGTAGCACAGGGGGAGATAAACAATTATTTAGGTACCCTCCCTCCAAACTGTGAAGAGCTTTGAAGATCAATATTACTAGTTTAATTGGGTCTAGAAATGGATTGAGAGCCACTGCAAATGGCAAATCTAAGACGTCGTGTGATAATAATGCCAGGTCTCAATTGGCAGTGTAGCAGCTGTATTTTGGCCTAGCTGCATCTTTCAAATATCTTTCAGATGTAGTGCTGTTTATAACCCATTACAGTATTCTTACCTGGAAGTTAGTACATGAATAACTGAGGCCAGGTTGTTTGTGTAATGGAAATTTAGTGAAATTTCAAACTTGTGTTCTCTCACTCAGTAGAATGAAAAAAGCAATCTTGCTGAGTATCATCTGAATATTGATGACACTTCACATCAAAATATCTGGGTGATTTTGCATAGCAGTTCCATGTGGATATTTTAAAAAGTATAGCAGATACACTGAGCTCTGTGGGTTTCCCTAGCAGAAGTGCCCCTGCCACAGCATGACCTTGTAGAATCTTCTGGTTATGCAGGAATGGAGCCACCATAAATTGGTGTCTCCAGTTGCAAACCATGACAAGCCTATGTAGGAGCATAGAATGATGGAATTATTCTATGTTCAAAGGTCCAGGAGAATCTGCCACAATCCTTCTGTCTTCTCCAGCACAGGCCACCCATCAGACTTTCAAGGTCTGTTGGAACACCAGGCCTAAAGCCTGATTGTAATAGATCCAGAAATTCAGCTTCCTCCAAGAATTGCCTAGATGAGTACCGAACAGAAGGGAGAAATGATTGGTGGACATGAGCATATGTATGTGGAGTTGTTTTCCAGCCTGACCTATAGCTAGGTATTGAAGAGATTGCTATTTGTTTCTTCAGGTAATGTCACACAATAAAGAGCGACGGTCAAAGAGGGATGAAAAATTGGATAAGAAATCCCAAGCTATGGAAGAACTGAAAGCAGAAAGGGAGAAAAGGAAGAACAGAACAGGTTAATTCAAAACCCTTGGACTAAGTTCATAAAGATTCACTATGAAGTACATTTCCAGTTCTTACAATGTAGGCACCAATTGCTGCCCGAGACTGCACTCTTTATATAAAATCACTTGTATGACAGGAAGAGAAACATGGATCAGTATTTTAATTTAGCTTATGTTTTCTTGTCTAGTTTTTATCCAGTGATATAACATAGCTTTAAATGCAGTAAACTCATATATTCAGAGTTAATGATGGAGCTATGGCATTAGTCTGAACATGTGAGCTGCTTCAATGTTGTGTTACCAAACCGACTTTGACTGCATCAAGTCTAAACAACCTATTTTTCATCCTTTTTCTTTCCTGAGGTTTGGTTTTTTTTTAATTCATTGTATTTTTCTGAATAGGTAGTTGCATCCACCAATTAATATAGTATAATACAAAGACAGTATTCAGGGTAGCTTGTTTGAAATAAATCTTATTTGTTGTTTAAGATTTAAAATAGGGTTTAAATCTTTAAGGGTTTAGACCACCTTTAAGGGTAGAATCCTCTTCCAAAAAGGAAATCATGTTCATTTTCTAATACTCACTTTATTAAATATAAGAGTCCAGCCAGACCATTCCACTATCCTGTTTCCCACTGTGACCAGCTGGTTGCCTCTGAAGAACCCAGAAGCAGAAAAAGCAGTCTCTTACTGTTCCCTAGCAATTGGCATTCAGAGGCATGGTGCCTCCAGTTGTGGAGGTAATCTAACTAGGCTAGTAGCTGTTGGTAGTCTTATTCTCCAGGAATTTGCCTAAGCCCCCTTTAAAGCTGTAGCTGGTGGCCATCACCATGCTTGTGTTTTTTCCCCCTTAACTCCAGTGACCAAGATGCTAGATTTGTCATATGCATCAATGACATTCTCAGTGGACTTAGACTATTTGGTAGTTGAGCTGGCATTCCTCAAGTTGTGTATCACTCCCTTTGTAAGCAAGGATTGCCTACTCTCAGTTTTATGTATTTCCATTGTATAGCAGACTACCCTGCTATGTCACTAAGTTGTTGCCAGACTCTGTTTCAGAGTGGTTTGGCATAGGACATGAATGAATGCTGTTTTGAAAGCTCTCTAGGGCACATGGACTCACTTACAAATTCCTTTTAACTGTGGGCATACTTTTAAGATTTAGGGGGAATCTTATTTTTGGCTCTTTAAACTTCATCAAAAATCTTTGACAGAAATTTGGCTTCCAGGTTGTATTGGGATATCTCTCTGGTTTCTGCTTATTTTTAAAGAGGACCCTAGGCAGAGAGAAACTGAACAGAAAACAGAAGTTGTTTCTTTTTTCCTTCGTAGCTGAGTTACTTGCAAAGAAACAGCCATTAAAAACAAGTGAAGTATACTCAGATGATGAAGAGGAAGAAGAAGATGATAAATCAAGTGAGAAAACTGATCATTCATCCAGGTCTTCATCGTCTGATGAGGAGGAAGAGTAAGTGTCTACTTATAATTGAGGGCAAAAGGTACAGCTGAACATAGTCCTGTTTCTAGTGCTAGTTTTGTGCTCACTAGGGAATGCATTCATTAGTGTTTTGATGAAGCTCTGTGGAACCTGTCCCTTTAGTGTCCACAGACTTCCTCTCATGCTTGGCCCTGTCCTAGAAAATAAGTCAAGCTGAGAAGTCCACGAATGCTCATGGAGCAGAAGTTGCACAAGTAACCTTCTTTTGCAACACCAACAAAGACTGCTGCATGTGACACAGAAAAGGGACATGGCTTGTGCACATTCATGCAGGGCTTGACTTCTGGTTAACCACTTGTGAATGCTGGGCATGCTCACTAGGAACTTGAGCTCACGATCACACCAAAACAGGTGAGGTTCTGGGGAGTTAAGCCCAGGAAATCCAATGGATTTCTCACATGTTCCTGGTGTGCATTATATAATGGTTCTTCCCACTTAAATAGACAGGTTTTATTCCTAAGAGCAAGTATGGTGTAATTGTCAGTTTTAGACTAGGACTGGGCAGTCCCCTTTCCAAACTGCACTCTGTGACTTTCTGCCAGACATTAGCTCAGCCTAGCCTACCTCACAAGAGGTTTCTAAGATTAAAATGGAGAACAAAAGATTCATCTACACTGAGGCCCAGGAACAAAGTAAGCTAAAAATGTAATCAGATATAGCAGTTTGGATAAAGGCAGATCAATCTAACATGGGACTATGTAGTCCTGTTCAGTTGACTAACAAAAAATTAGTGCTTTTTTAGAAGTATGAAATTATTTTTCCATAGTGTCTAGATTTGGTATTCTGGTATCTGTTTCACTTGCAATAATGCTGAACAATGCAGCAAAGATCACAACAAACAGCGGCAGAGAGACCAGAACTAGTAAAAGTGCTCTTTAGGCTAAAGAAGCAGCAACTACTGTGGATTTTTATTCTGCTTCAAAGTATGAATGGCCTTCCTTTTGTTCTTCTGTGTCACACTAGGAAAGAAGAAATTCCTCCAAAATCGCAACCGGTGTCCTTGCCCGAAGAACTGAATCGGGTTCGGTTATCTCGACATAAACTGGAGCGGTGGTGTCACATGCCTTTCTTTGCCAAGACAGTCACTGGCTGTTTTGTGCGCATTGGAATAGGAAACCACAATAGCAAACCAGTTTACAGGGTGAATATATCTTCAAGTGAACCTAATTCCTACTGATATTTAGAACAACCCACATTCCCTACTGGCCATTTGTTCATAAGCCCTCGGAAGCGTGAAATTATGAAAAACATAGTGAAGGGAAAGCAAGTCATTACACAATGCAGTACTGGTTGTGAGCCCTGTCCTACTTGTCCTGCCATGCTGTCTTTTTCATACATGAAAGATCTATATCATTTCCTGTTTGTTAAATAATAAGGGGTTGGTGTCCATATTTCCCACTCACCACCAGAAGAGGAAAGTGACATGAGGAAATTTTTGCCAGTTTGCTCTTTCCTTTCCCATACCTTGACCTGCATTCTCTGAAATCCGCTCTGGAGGCCTCTCCAGTTATGTAGAGTAGATTTTTCAAATGGTAGAAGTAGCTGCAGATGGAGGGGAAATTGACAAAACTTTCCCTTCACTGGAGGAGGTTAGCCTTGGATAGGTTGCTTCTTTGTCTCACTTCAGCAAGCAGGAAAGTGCAAATTATGCTGCAGGGAGGCATGGAAATTTGCCTTACCTGATGTTTTCTGTGGACGGAAGGAGCCCTGCTATTCACAGACTGCAAAAACTAGATCCTGCCATAAGTATTTAACATGCTGTTACTACATTCTGCTTTTTGAGCTAAGCGCTTCCTGCTTCAAAGTAAATTATAATCATAATGTTCTGAGTTTATCAGTAGGCTTGAGGATTTGGTCCTGTTCTTTCTGTGTTCTTATTGAGTCTGTCTCCTCTTGAGTCATTTTTCCCATTTTGTTAGAAAAGCTATATAAAAGTTCTTGCCTGTTTTGTTTGCTCATCTTTACTTCTATAGGTCGCAGAAATAACTGGTGTCGTAGAAACTGCAAAGGTTTACCAGCTTGGGGGTACCAGGACAAACAAAGGGCTGCAGTTAAGGTAAGACATTTGGAATTCATATTGCATCACTTTGGGGGTATGATAATGAAGGAGTGAAAGACTGGAATGCCGCAATCTTTTCTCTTTGATAGGAAGTTGTATTTCTTAAATTTTTCCTTAGGATATCTTTGCCAGCATTTTTGCTAAAGATGGCCAAACAAACATTGGCGTTTATAAGGCAGCACATGTGGGTAAAAATAGCACAGCAGACATTTTTGTTCACCAGTGATATTATGTTCAAAATGTATCTTCCTATAGCAAAGGTAGAAGTGGGCCAATATATAGAAGAATGGCTAGTAGCCAGTTATAAATGCTCGACCTCTGTCCCCGTCCCCAGAGACTGGGAGGTGGGAATCGCTGTTGTTTATACATAGGTTCCCAAGAACTGTTTTTTCTCTGTACAGGCATGGTAGTGACCAGCGTGTGTTTCGTTTAGAGTTTGTCTCCAATCAAGAATTTACAGAGAGCGAGTTCATGAAGTGGAAGGAAGCCGTAAGTTTGCTAGAATATTCTTAAAAGATTTGACAAGAATATAGTATTGAAGAGCAAATGAAGTCTTTCTTCCCTTTCTTATTTTTGAAATTAGATGTTCTCTGCTGGGATGCAGCTACCTACATTAGATGAGATAAACAAGAAGGAAGTGTCCATTAAAGAAGCCCTCAACTATAAATTTAATGACCAGGACATTGAAGAGGTAAATGAAGAAAATGTACTTTTGAGCTGGAACCATTCAGTTGAAGGTTCATAATGGAAAGGTAGGTGAGGTCTTTTAAAAAATGTTCTCAGATGCCAAATTCTTCTTCTGTAAAGGTGGATTTGAAAGTGATCCTATGGCCCATAGACAACATTTAGGGCTTCCTAGGATAATTCAGATTCCCAGACCTCAGAGCTAAGGATCCACACTCCAGCCTCCACCCCACAACCAGCACAGAAAGAACTGCACTGGTGGCCCCTCTAAGGTCAGGAAATCAGCTCCAGAGAGAGGCTGAGTTGGTGTGGAAAGAATGAGAGTAGGTCTCTCAGGATATGATGTATCCTATTGGCAGACCAGCCTCCTTCCCTCCCCCTTCAAAAATGCCTCAGTTGGATGGCTGAAAACAGCTGTCAAACTGAAATGCAGAGCAGGTGATGTGGGAAGGCCATGATTCCCTCTGCTGCTCCTTCCGCTCCACACTGCATGCTTGTGAGCCTCTGAATTCAGGATACTTGCAAGTATCAAGGGCATAATTGATAGGATTAGGTTCATAAAGACCCTATTTCTGTGAAGGAAAAGACATAGTTGGACTGTTTACACTCGCTCTGATAACCCTGCTTTAGTTTTCACCTCCCACCCCCATTCAGATTTACAGAAGTTAGATTCCATTTAAAAATGGACCAGTTCTCTCATACAGATGGGTAAGGCACTGAGGACTAGATTTGGGACAGGACTGTAGGAGGGGCCCTTGCAGCGTCCCTCCACTCAAAAAATTTGCTTTGCAGCTTCTGCCTGTAATCATGTTACAATAAGTGTTGTCTGTAGTCACCCTGGCATCTTAAGTACCGTTAGGATGTCAGCCAGAGTAATTTTGTGTTCCCCATTTATAGATAGTAAAGGAGAAGGAGAGGTTCCGGAAAGCACCTCCAAACTATGCCATGAAGAAAACACAGCTACTGAAAGAGAAGGTAAAAGGCAATAGCAATGGTAAATGGTCCTGCAAATAGCTCTTGCTGGAGAGTTACGGCTGCTTTGGGTGTTAGTGTTTCTGACTGCCTTTTGGTAAGGTCACTTGGGTTCTTTCCTGAAAAAGAATAGTAGCACTTTTCCTTGTTGTAAGTCTCTTACCATACAATTCTTGTAAATGAAAATGTTGTCATGTCAACATAAAAAATTTAATCACACAATGCAAATAATACTTTAGATTAAGCACTCAACTATTGCTTTATAGAGTCCATTTTTGTTGGGGGCGAAGAAGGTTACAACTTGTTCAGTTTTTACAGGCTGCGAGTTGTAGGAAATTTTTACTGCTAGTAAGTGGCTTAACAGGTCCCCCCTTACATCAAATATTGTACTATGGTATAGTAGTGAGAATTGCTGTTCTGTTACGATAAAATTCATAAATGTACTAATAGTTACTCCTCTTGCCATATGGTTTGATTGTGTTCTTGATGGTAGCTTGTATGTTTCAGCTTTTAAAAAAATGAACTCCAACTGATATAATGGCTGCTCTGGTGACAGTTAAGGTCTAACAAATAAATCTTTATTGAAGGCCATGGCAGAAGACATGGGAGATCAGGACAGGGCAAAACAGATTCAAGATCAGCTTAATGAATTGGAGGAGAGAGCAGAGGCCTTGGATCGCCAGCGAACAAAAAATATTTCAGCCATAAGGTTGGTAGCTAACAATGATTGAAAAAGCACCACCACCGACAACAAAAAGTTAGCATCTTGATCTATGACTCTCTTGTTATCATAGGGTCATATTCAAAGCAATCTTGCTAGTTCTCTTCATCTGGAAAGAATGACATTTTTCAGCTTTTCAGGAAGTGACCTCTGGAAAAATAACTTGTTTGGATTGCAAATTGGAGAAATGGCTTACTTAGATTATCAATGTAAGGGAGTTGTTTACTTCTCAGGTCAGCAATAAATCTTGGCACTTTCTCTTTTCTTTTTTCAGTTATATTAATCAAAGGAATAGGGAATGGAACATTGTGGAGTCTGAAAAGGCTTTAGTGGTAAGTCATATTGACAATGGAGCCATCCAAAGAGATGGTAGCTATTTGAATTAAGCAACTAATTTTTTTTACCATATGTAGACAGATTTTCTGCTTTTGACTGCAAAATAGCATTTTCTGGGCTATTAAATATGAAGTGCAACTGCAGATATGCCAAGCAGTATCACTTTCTGACTTGTGGGAAATTGTATTTGTAATTCTGTTACTGTTTCGAAAGAGGAGATTCAGTCTGCATAAGTAGCCAGTGTGGCACAGTGGTTAGAGTGTTGGACCTGGGACCTGGGAGATCTGGTGCCCACTCAACCATGAAGTTCACTGGATGACTTTCGGCCAGTTATGAACTTTCATCCTGACCTACCTCTCAGGGTCATTATGAGGATAATGATCCCCAGTTGATGATCCCAGTGCTTCCTACCTCCCCTCAGTTTACCTTTCGCTAGGTGGTTGAGTACACTTCAGAAAAAAGTACTGGGCCACAGCTAGCCACAGTTCTTAATTTCTAAGAATGCCTCTGGGGGCTGAAGCCATTCTTGGAAATAAAGACAGCAGTAAAAGATGTTTTACTTTGTTTTGGACAGTGCTCACCCTCTCCCACTTTAATTTTATATTTAAAATCAGGAGGGAAAGGGAGTCTGGTGAGCAGCGAGAGAACCATCCATAGTCGTCATATTGTAGAACTCCTGCTAGAGCAGTGCACGAACTCTTGCATGAGTTTTTCTTCATGCTCATTGTTTTTCTGGATCCAGGCCACCCTGTTTTGAATCTTTTTTAAAGAAATTCTGACTGCATCAGTGGACTTTATTCATTGGTGTTTGTCCACTGGTACAATAGATGCAGAATGATTTCTTCCTTTCTTCTGCTGTCCCACAGATCTGCTTCAGAGGGTTGGAGAACACTCCTGAACAGATATGAGAGCAAGGGCAAGGTTGCAGGGGGGAATGGAAGGGAAATGCTGTCTGAAGCTCTGAATGACATGAAGCTGTAATGGTTTAAGGAACAAAAATGAAAGCACTTTTGTAGAAATGGATGAACATTCTCATTCAGAATGTGGAAACAGCCATGCTGGATCAAATCTTAAAGGCCTACCCAGTCTAGCAGCCAGTTTCCCACAGCAGCTAACTGGATGCCTCTGGAAAACTACAAAAGCAGGACATATGCATGACAGCACTCTCCTGTTGTTTTTCCCCAGCACCTGGTATTTGCTGAGAGGCAGCCTCTGATCCTAGAGGTGGTGCTAATCCTATGGTGCTGTGTCAAACTAAGCTGGGAAAAATAAATAAGCAAAAAATGACACAATGCATATTTATCTCTGCAGGCTGAAAGCCACAGTATGAAAAACCAGCAGATGGATCCCTTCACTAGGCGGCAGTGTAAACCCACAATAGTCTCCAATGTAAGTAAAATGCAAAGAATGCGAGACCCGGCAAATATGGTAGGCTACATATAAAGAGCGATCCAGATGATGCAAGAGTTAACTGAATAAGAACCATAATATGCATGACACTATGATTTTGCGACAGAGGAGAAACAGTGCATTCATGTTCTGTTACAACAGAATGTCATATTGGCTGTAATTTCGGGTTACCTAGTTGAAGTAGAATATATATGCCCCCATTGAAAATCATTAAAGATGTCATTCTGTTGGAGAGACAACCTGTACAGTTCTAACTATGGATTTCTTTGTTTGTGGAATACATGCACATCCTGTATGAAGAGAGAATTTTAAAACTAGAAGGTGGTCAGGTTGCTGTTAATCTCTTTCTTTTGCTACAGTCTAGAGATCCTGCTGTCCAAGCTGCTATCCTTGCCCAACTGAATGCAAAGTATGGATCTGGTGTATTGCCAGATGCTCCAAAGGACATGACTAAGGCAAGTGCTACCAAGTATTTGCTGTTCTATCTGCTTCTATCCTGTAATCCTAAGTGACTGACCAGTATGCAGAACTATAAGCATATGCAGTTCTTGAATTTTGACCTTTGACCACAATAGGCAACTTATAGCCCTGCAGATGTCTTTGCCTACAACTTCTGTCATCCCTCACCATTAACGACTCTGGTTTAGGTTGAGGGAATTTGTAGCCCAGAACATCTGGAGGGCCACAACTTGCTCACCTATGTGTGGTATGTTTCTATAAAAATTGATGTATGAAAGGAAGATTCCATCCCAAAAGCGTTATTGGGATTTGATGCCACCTGGCTTACCTTCTTTCTTTTCTTCTTTCTTTTAAAAATTTGTATGCCGTCCAATTACTTGCGTCTCTGGACGGCTTACAGCATGTACGTACCTTCTGTACGCTTTGTTATTGAAAGGTTTCTCTTCTTTCAGAGTCAGGGAAAAGACAAAGATATGAATTCAAAATCAGCCAGTGACCTTTCAGAGGATCTTTTCAAAGTGCATGACTTTGATGTGAAAATTGATCTCCAGGTCCCCAGCTCAGGTAGGTGCTGCTTCTGGAGGAACGAAATATGAATGTGACAAAAAGGAAGAAGATGCCCTGAGTCTGTGCAGCTCTAAAGCCTGTGGATGGAAGATAAGCAAATTCAATGCAAATATGATTTGTGGTTGTTTGTGTCTTCAACAAATGGTTATTTGTGCTTATCCATTCAAGTCAAGACTGAACTACTAGGTCTGCCCTTTTGCTGGTTAAATTTGGAATAAATGGGTGAGCAACTTGTGGTTCTCCATTTGCTTAGGTCAGTGTAGCTAATAGTTGAGGGCTCATGGGAGTCATAGCCCAGAACATCTGGAGAGCCACAAGTTGCCCACCCTTGGTTTTAAGGAACTGGAAATGAAAGAACAGTGCAGCTTCTAAACCCATCTGCTTCATGGTTCACAGAAGCTACTCTTGCTTTGTCCTTGAGTTGAGAAGATTTCACCATTGCCCTGGGTAGTTGATTCTGTAGTGTTCCATGTTTTATTGCCTTCCCTTGTGATTTCACCTGCAGAGAAAGCAACCATACTGCAGGCTTCTAGGATTGTCTTCTGCTTAATCCCTTGGAACAGGAGCCTTGTCTTTTGTTTATATTCTCCTGATGATAAAAGATAGATTATGATGATCACACTTTCAGAAGGGAATATGTTACCTGTAAGCTTGGTTAGAAGAGAGCAGTGAATGTGCTGAGTTACAGGTGTGTGTGTTGCCTTGTCTTCCAACAGAGTCCAAAACACTGGCCATCACCTCTAAGGCTCCCCCAGCAAAAGATGGTGCCCCTCGGCGATCACTGAACCTTGAGGACTACAAGAAAAGGCGAGGGTTAATTTGAGCGTACCCACTCTCTGCTGCTTCTGATCCTGCATGCTACATGATGCCCCACCCTTTATTTTCTTCCCTCCCTCTTCAGTTTGCCCTTCTGGGTTGGAGCAGCAACAGAGCTGGGAAAAGACTCTTCAAAATTGCCAGCCATCTGTAATATAAACCATTGACTCTTTACTGTATAGACCTCCCTTCTTGCCCTTTCCTCCTGCCACCCACAAATATTGATCTGTGCTATTTTTAGGGGGGGTGGGGATGGGGGTGGTTTTTGTTTTTTGTTTAAATACAGCTCTTTGCAGTTGGCTGTATGCATTCAGTGTTAACCTGAAGTCTGGATTTCTGCAGGAATCTATTAGTGGCAGAAGCAGTGTGTTAGCACTTGGCTGTCTTACCTCCACAGGCAAGGAAAGTTCAACAGTGGCACAAGACCTCTTGTGAAGGTCGCCTGCACTTTTTTCCTCTTCTTCCCCCAGCTCCTAGCTTTGGAGAAGGGCATCTTTACAAACTGGTTTAGGTTGAAAGTGTACATTTTTGTGGGGGTGGGTGGGTTGTGTGGATTTTTTCCAGATAGTTTTTTTTATCATTTTTAACCTGCAGTAAATTTGTATCTGTCTGTCACAATACTTTAAAGCTGTCTTGAATTTCTACCAGCTACACTTGAGCATCCAAAACAGCAGGGGCTATTTAGTAGATTTTTTTTAAACAAACAAGAAAGCCTGGCTGATGATAACTGTGTAACTTCACATTTCTCTGTTTACTCTTATAAAATTCCTTTCCCTCCTCTCCCGCCAGTGTCTTGTTTTGTACAGCAGTAATACATGTGTCCTTGAATTCCCTGCTCACAGGTAGGTGGAACAGCTCATCCTTGCCACTTGGTTTGCCCCCCACACACACTCACACCCTGGCTGAACAAAACTACGTCATCATGCAGTATTTGTTATTCCTCATTGCCAGCTCATCTTTCCAGGCCTGAAATCTTTTTCATTTGCCTCCTGCTTTTTATTTTTATTTTTTATTTTTATTTTTTTTTGCAAAATGGGAAAGTTGCAGAGAAATAATAAAATGTAAAGGGGCAGTTATTTGACCTATATGTAACTGGTACAACATGTGCAGTGGAACTTTAGCACATGGATTGTATGTATGGAATGTTTGAATAGGAACAAGATGACTGCTTGATAATCACTCAGGTGTAAAATCAAAGTGTAAATAAATGACATTTTATCAAAGAACTCTTCAAAATGAATTACAATGAATTATACTGAACTAAGAACTCCATACATTGATAACACACCAGTGATCTGACAGGTCATGTTAGCACCAGTACTGGAGTATGCCCTCCACAAAGGATGCTTTCCAGTTTAGATTAAAAGGAAAAAAATCCTGCAATATATGAAGCATTATTAAGCAGGCCCAGAAAAACTTTGCTTATATTGGAATAAAAGTTTGAGTCTTGTGGCTGTTAATTGTGGGATCCTTCTTGAGGCTTTAATTCTATTCTTTAATTCATTATTTAAGACTAGGGCAACACAAAACTGTGTAACACCTGATAAAATGAAGAGGGAAAAAACACAATCCTCCTGAAGTGGGTTCTTGTCAAGTGATGTAACCTTGTGCGGCTTTATTTACTAGATAGTCCATAGCTTTGCGGACTATTCTGTAAATATGTAATCATTCTGTTTCTGCCTTTTTTCTAGCTATTTCTCTTAAGCTCTTGTGGACTCTTATTTACATATGTGCTTCTAACTCCCCCCCCCCCCGCAAAAGTGGATTTCTAGAATCTGCCAGTGTAGAGCTGTTTGGGAGCTATCATGATATACTATGTAGATATGCATCTCTTTCACTTGATTTTTGCCAGCAACATAATTTGTAACCAGTCTCTCCAGTACCAGTATGTCTAATGTAGAAAAATATAAGTGCAAAATTCTTGCAAAGGTTTGGCTGCCCACCAGTTTCTACAGTTTCTTCACATAGGAGCAAGAAAAGAGCAAGCAAACGTTAAATTCCTGTTCTTCCAGTACCACATAATGATATCATGGTAGTGCACAACAGACATTTGCAACAATGGTACATTTCCTGACATTGGGCTTTATAATCAAAGTACTGAACACTTCCTTAAGTTGTAAATAATGCATCAATTTTCCCCTTTCCAATTTGTTTAGAGGAATTGATACAAAACAGAGTGGGGTGCTTATTTAGGACACAAATGAATGAAGTCACTGTCCTCATATATCCCCTATTTACCAAATGTAGAAATGAGAGGTTTTGCTTTTCACAGAGGTAACAGACATGTCCTTATGCACCATCTGGGTTTTTTTTTCACTGAGAATAATACGTTGGGGAAGTAATTTTTCTCAGATAGCTATGGAACTAATTGTGTATGAAGGTGTAATGTTTTCTCCTCTTTAAGTGCATGTGACAGTGAGTGATGACAGCACAGGCGCATTGGGAGGGTTGGGTTTATTTGCTTTAATTCATTGATGTCTCAGCAGCATTCGTTACAAATGTATAGACTTCTATAAATAAACTTTGGTTGGTTTTAATAAAGCTGCTCATGTTTAATCCTTTGCTAAAGGGTATTCTAGGCATTAAAAATGTTCAAGCGAAGTATTTGAATTTGCACAACCCAACTTGCTATCCATTTCTTTTTATCCCACTCACAAGGTGTCCAGGCGTAGTTAACATGTAAAAACAGTGCAGCACATAAACAGTATTAAAACAACTAAAATTACAAATACACAATAAAATACATACTTGTATTTAGTCCAAATGGCTTGTCATTCAGTTGCATCATTCAACTAGTTGTAATCAACTAGAGAGCCGGTGTGGTGCAGTGGCTAAGAGCATGGGACTGGAACTCAGACGATCTGGGTTCTAGTCCCCGCTCAGCCATGGAGCCAACTGGGGGACTTCGGGCCAGTCACAGACTCTCAGCCCAACCTACCTCACAGGGTTGTTGTGTGGGGATAAGATGGAGGAGGAGATGTAAGCTGCCTTGAGCCCTTTGCAGGAAAAAGACAGAATATAAACCGAAAAATAAATAAATCAACGTTTTTAAATCCACTTTGGATGTACTCATCACATGAGATAAAAGGAAATTATCTGTATATTTCCAAGGTTATGTGACATTTCTCAACATGTCAAAGGTAAGGTAGAAATGCATGCTTGCAGCTCAGTCATGCTTCTTACGTATAAATGAGTAGAAACTAAACAAGGAATATTCCTTCCCAGCAGAGTGAATAATTAGCTCTCATACTTGTTAATGTGTTTCTTTCACTGGGGAATATTATTCAGCCTACCCCAGCCTGATGCCATATTGGCCAGGGATAGTTAGAGTTGGACTCTGATGTATTGGGAGGGTACCAGATTGAGGCAGGCTGGTATAACTGGCCATAAAGCAAGTATGCTTTGACTTCTGCTGTTTTCCAGGCACCTAATAAATATTTAGTGATTACCATTGTCCAGAATAGGTCCAGAAACACAACAACTTTGCTGCAGAAAACAAACTGTTCAAACTTTCAGGAAGGTGAAGTTGGTTTCCGTTCCAGGTTTGTATTTATTGGAAACTTTATTCACATATTTATATGCCACCTATAACTGTCAAAGGCCTTCCTAGGCAGCTTACAACTAACAACATATATGTAGCAGTAGTGGGTCCAAAAGCCACTATTTGCTAAATGCTGAAAATGCTGTAGTCTCACTGAAAATGCTTGTGAAAATCATAGACTCTTGCACCATCTCAAAGACATAAAGGTTATACTATAATACATTTATGTAGGATGAAGTTGGCAGGTGTATGATTGTAAGGCTATAAACTGGATAGAGGGGAAAATAAATGCAAACAGCACAGACTGTAGTAATTACATTGAAGTTTAAACAGGCCTTCACCATTCAACAACAGGAGTGATCATACCAATCTGGCATTTCACACTTGTAGGAAACTCCTCTGTATTCCATGCAAAATATTCCTCTTCTGAGTACTACTGTGATAAGACTGAGAAGAAACTTTCTAGGAGGCAAAAAAAATACGTCCATCTGTTCTATGAGAACCGAAGGTGGAATTAACCGTAGAGAGGGGAAATGTGTGCCTTTCATTAGAAGATTGTTTGTCAGGAGTGACAGAATGTAAATACAGTGTTCTGATGGCCTGACAGTTACTATTACGCTTGGGAGGCAAATAGGAGGTTAAGTTTGTCATATATAATATGGAAAAAATTAAATAGGTACCATCTGATTGGAGGATAGCTTAAACATCCTTAAGAGGCCTGCTCATCCTTAAATTTCCAATATAAGAAGGAAAGTTGGCCATATCAAAGCTGACTGGCTGGACAGCTTGCCAGGAGTGAATATAAAGAGCTGTTGAGAGGCAGCTGAGCAAAGCTTTTCTGGAGAGTTTTTTTCTGGAGAGATCCAACTGAGGGTGTTTGAGATGGCCACCAAGGAAGAGTGGCAATGGAAGAGTCTTCAGGAGAAGCTGAGAGCCTGAGGAAGACGGCAGTAGCTAGACTGGGAAGTGATACTGGAGGGAACAAGGCAGGAGAAAGCAAGTATCAGCGGCCCTCAAAAAGAGCTTGACGCTTCGGCGTTTGCTGTGGTCTGAGGGCAGCAAGCTGCTGGAGCAGATTGAAATCTTCAAAAGAAGGCTGGTCAGTTGTCACTGGAAGTTTCTTGAAGTCAAACCTTCATTGCCAGGTCTATTTATTAACTGGGATACAACTTGATAGGGGAATTTACTTAAGGATTAGGAACTGTAGCTTATTTTAGACTGGTTGGTGGTAACAGTAACAATGTAAAAGTCCTATTTTTAAAGTAACCATAAATTACAATCTTCTATTCCTTTTTAATAAAATATTTTCACTTTTCCTGTTTTTATTATACTTTGAAGATACATACATGGCAAACACACACACACACACACACACACACACACACACTTTATACTAAATGGGTTTTCTCCATTTTGCTGTTAGTAGCAGTGGGATGGCTCCAACAAAGAAACAAATTCTCAACAGGGATGTATAAGAACTTTATATTAGAAACGTATTTACATGTTTCCATCAAGAATACACAACAAAATCCAAGGTCTACAATCAAGCCCTCTAATACAATCAAGACCTCAATCAAGCCCTCCATTTGTTCTGATTCATGGGTCATAGACTCACTTATGAAAGCTTTCCATCAAGCATTTCTTATTGCCCAGCCAATGGAATTAAAAAGCAACTCAAGGTCAGAGTGATACCCAGGAATTACCACCTACAGGACAAACCTAGAAGAAAGAGTGACAAAATACCACTGATAAACTACAGCTTTCTGCTAAAACCACTTCAGCAGATTGCACTTTAAGTGTTGATGAATTCATTTTCCAGGAAATATATTTATGGTGTTTCTGAGAAATACATTCTGATCCGAGCTTGGGTGGCCTTGAGTCTTGCGGAAACTGGGTAAATGGATGAGCCTCCACATCTCTCAAGAGAAAGAGTTCTGATACACTTTTTTCATTGCCACCTGGATGGAACTCTGCTACCAAGAATGCAGAAAGAAAAAGAATCATGCATGTTTATATGGAGGTGGAAAACTGCTCCTGAAATTGCTTCTCTTGTTCAAGCCATCTTTTGTTTTTAACCATAATAAAAATGTTAAGTGACTGGTACCAGGAAGTGGCAATTTGGTTTGCCAGGTTTTCCAGCTATAGGGCACATTTCCTTCTTAAAGGTTGCATTTGCTTTATGGGTGGAACTGTTTAATTGTTTTTGTACCATGCATGCTATGCAAGGAAGCAAGTCCAGTGGAAAACTAGAGAGCTGACATGTTCTTATGGCTTGTCAAAAGATCAAGCAGCCTTCTTATGAAGTCTAGTGGCTATAGGGAATGGGGCAAACCTTTCAATAATTAAAAAGGCTGTGCTCCCTCTCCCTCTCCCTCTCCCTCTCCCTCTCCCTTTATTGGCCAGCGATTTCCTGAGCAGCTAGAGTTGCAGAAAAAAGTGCAAAATGTGCATTACCCTGAGGACTATAGGATGGATGGATAGCTTGATAGATAAGGATCTCACCACAAAGAGAGTGTAAATCTCATCACTCCCAGTTTTTTACAAGTAAAATCACTCAGGGCTGTTGCATTCTCTTGAGAGTTTATCTTTTGACAGCCATTAAGGGAAAGCAAAAGAATTTGGACCTTTCTTGGGACAATGCTTAGGAGGTTCCTGTTGCATTCTGACAGCAGGTACATTCATCCCCAACTCTGCCCTATGGAAGGTCCCAATATCTGTACTTGTGTAAGTGTGGCTAAAGGTTTAGCAAAACCAAATGAAATGCTTTGTACAAAAAGAAATTAAAAATAAAACCTAACCACTAACAGCTTCTCCAAGGGGCTGTTCAAACACTCTAACTATCAAAGTGACTATCAAAGCGGAGGGAAAGAGAAATGGCTCAGAATTACAGCTGAAAGTGGGAGACAAGTCGGTCCTGCTATAGGGTTCCCCATGGATACCCCTAGAAGGACCAAGGGGAAGGGAGGACGTGAACAACTCACAGTGAGCCCAATTGCAGGACAACCAACCTGCTGTGGCTTGTTGCCGGGATGTGTTGCCATGACGTGTGAACATGCCCAAAGTTTCCAAAGGACAAAGTCAGGGATGGGCTTATACATGTCTCATCAGTGACACTTCACCTTCATCCAGACACAACTGAACATAAGCAGTCACAGATTTCCTTGGTGATGAACCATAGATTACTACTATGAACTTTGCTTTGGCTCTCCTAAAGTGACAATGATTAAACCTGAGATATTGTTTTCCTTCTTCAGGTTTCATGAGGTATAAGAATTGGTCAGCGCACTTATCTGTTTTATTTTCCACAACTGTGTCCTGAGGCAGGGGATCTATACTGTGTGATGTCTAAGAAGAACTTGTGAAAGAATGGAGCACAGTCTTCTTGGTCAAGGGCCAAGTTGCCTTCTGGTGACTGAAGGGAGGAATCTGGCCGCAGCAGAGCACAGGCCGTCCCAAAGCAGCTCATGCTTGTGTGTCAGCTAAGAGTGAGGTAACCAGAATTAGGGTGCTGTAGCACTGAAAATGCCTCCCTCAGCCACACCTTCCTGTCACAAGGTGGCATTGCAGAGTAAACCACCAAGCCACTGAACTTGCTGATGAGAAAACCGGCAGTTCAGATCCACGCAGGGGGGTGAACGCTGGCTCCCTGTTCCAGCTCCCACAAACCCAGAAGCTCAAAAGTGAGTAAAAGTGTGTGTAGACAAATGGGTACCCACCTGGGTGGGGAAGCTATTGATCTGCATGGAAAGTGTTTGGACCAGCCTCGGGTTGGATCTGCAGCAACAGTGGCAGCAACAGCGGTGGAGGGAGACCCGAGGAAGCTGACACTCCCACAGACTAGCTGCATCCATTTATAGGGTCTCCATAAGTTGGAGATGATGGCATATAACAACAAAATAAGATTTGCTGGGTAAGATTACTGAAAACTTCTTATGTTCAGAAGTGGAATGTATTAATTTTCTGTTGGTGGGTGTATGCCTCCATGTTAGTCATCAAGTAG